GTCCTACTACGGAAACCAGGCCGGGACGAGGGCCTACCGTCGGCATATCGGCCGATTGTGCTCCTGGACGAGGCGGGTAAGCTCTTTGAGCGAGTGCTCGCGGCTCGTCTCGTCCAGTCGATGAGCAGAAGTCTGCACGAGACCCAGTTCGGCTTCAGAGAGGGCCGGTCGACGGTCGACGCAATCCTGCGTGTCAGGTCGCTCGCTGAGGAGGCTGTGTCTCAGGGTGGGGTGTTGCTAGCGGTATCGCTAGACATCTCCAACGCCTTCAACACACTTCCCTGGGAGACAATACTTGCAGGCCTGAGGTGGCACGGGGTGCCCGAGTACCTGCAGGTCGTAGTGGCGGACTATTTTGTGGGCCGCAAAATAGTATACCCCACGCAGGGGGGCCGTTGGGTCTATAAGGCGATGTCATGCGGTGTTCCACAGGGGTCTGTCCTAGGCCCCCTCTTGTGGAACATCGGCTACGACTGGGTGTTACGGGGAGCTAATGTTCCCGGTGTCTGCGTGACTTGTTACGCAGACGACACCCTGGTCACGGCTTACGGTTCATCTTATCGAGAGGCGTCAATCGTCGCAACAGCGGGTGTGGCTCAAGTCGTGCGACGGATTCGTACCCTGGGATTGGAGGTGGCTCTTGACAAGTGCGAGGCCATTTCCTTCCACGGTCCTCGGAGGGGACCGCCGAGGGGAGCGTGTATTGTGGTCGGAGGAACTTTTATCTCTGTTCAGCCCTGGCTGAAGTACCTAGGGCTGGTCCTCGACAGTCGATGGACGTTCGGCGAGCATTTCCGGCGACTGGAGCCCAAGTTGGTCGCGGCGGCTGGCGCGTTGGGGCGCCTGCTTCCGAACGTCGGTGGTCCCAGTGTGGCATGTCGTAGACTCTACACTGGGGTCGTTAGATCGATGGCACTGTACGGTGCGCCTGTGTGGGCCCGGTCTCTCGGCCCGCGAACGACAGCCTACCTCCGCCGTCCGCAGCGTATCTTGGCGCGACGGGTGGCGCGGGCGTACCGTACAGTGTCTTTTGAGGGGGCCTGCGTGCTGGCCAGCACGCCACCGTGGTACCTGGAGGCCGATGCGTTGTCGGCTGTCTATCACCGGCGCGCGGAGGCTCGCAGCCATGACGGAGGAGTTGCGTCCGGGTCGGTCGCCGAATGGAGAAGGGATGCGGCGGCCAACGTTCTACGTAGATGGGGTGAGCGACTGGCTTCTCCGACGGCCAGTTATGAACTGGCCACCGCTGTCAGGCCTGTTCTTTGCGAGTGGGTGGGTCGCACGTTTGGCCCACTGACCTACCGCCTGTCACAGTTGCTGTCGGGACACGGATGTTTCGGCAGGTATCTGTGGCGGGTGGTGGGCAGGGAAGAAAGCCCCGCCTGCCATCACTGCGGGGGTGGCGTGGAGGACTCGGCGCAGCATACTCGCGAGTCATGCCCAGCGTGGGACAGCCTTCGCGCTGCTTTGACTACGGTCATAGGGAGGGACCTCTCGTTGCCGGCTATAATCTCGGCTATGGTCGGCAGCGAGGAGGCATGGGAGGCGGTGGCCGCTTTTGCCGAAGCGGTCATCAGCGCGAAGGAGGCAGCGGAGCGGGCCAGGGAGAGCAACCCGGAGGCCCCTGCCCTCCGTCGTCGGCGAATTGGTCGCCGGCGCCGAGCCTATCTGGCCTCTTTACAGCCATAGGTTAAGCGCCGGGCGACGTGATCCTGGGTGGCAGACGGGGACTTCTGTCGCCCGCTGGCAGGATCAGTGCGGTGCTAGCCCCTCTTGTTCCGGGGGCGGCTCGCGGTGGTGGTCTGCGGGGGGATTTGTCCCCCCTAGTTCGAGGTCCGGAGTGGACAAGCGCCGGCAGGGTCGCGAGGCAAGCTCGTGATATACCGTGGCCCTGCCTAGGTGGCGTGGTTGAGGAACACCCAGGGGTTTTAGTGGGTCGAAACCCCACATAACCCGGTCAAGTCCCCGCTTGGCCGGGTATCTGTGAACAGATTTCCCCTGGGAAAACAAAAAAAAAAAAAAAAAAAAAGGTACATACAAGTCAAGATAAAAAAGTAGCTTTATGGTCAAAACGAAATTGACATTATTGGTGACAATATATAAATTTTATATAAAATTTGGTCAAAAACTAGCTGAAATAAAACGCTCCATTAAATCTACTACGCGGCTATCAGATACTCAATTTCGATAACAGTATAACCCTCTTTCATACATTCAGGATCCTATCTGTGTTTGCAATAAAAAATCGATAATGTTCTAGAAAACTGACTGCCGATCTATAAACTCGGATTTTTATAGCTCTCATATAAATCCTAATAAACATGTGTTTGAAATTTTGTCTGCCTTCTGGTATTTTATATTACAATGAGTTTCAATGATTTAGGTTTTGTTTAGTCCTAAAAGGAAGAGGTAATTTGCAGTATAAAAAGGAACTGATACTTATGAATGAAAAAGTAAGAAAAGTTTTACGCCTAAAACGGCAGCAAAATCTGTTTTCTTTATATTGCATATTCAAAAAATATTTTAACGAACTTCAGTAGAAAAAAATGTATAAGCACTAAAATGAAGATGACAAAGGAATGATTACTTAGGTAAAAATTTATTAGGAAAACAAAGCCTATTATGCAAATAGATAATTTATTCACTTCAAGAACTATTGATATTGATTTCTATGTATGGAGGACAGACGATCGTACAAGGGCGAAGGTGTGACAAACGAGTGATAGTTTACAGGGTAGGGCTTTTAATTAAGCTTAGGACTTATACGTATACATTCAAACAATACAATGGCAGAATTCAATTAACGTAGATTGGTTTTAGCACGGGCAGAAAGGTCCTCTCATTTACCTATATAAAAAAGAAATATGTGTTAGTTATACTATGTATTTACAACTTAAGAACAGCTGTAGGGATATGGTTGAAATTTAGCGGGCAGATAGCTTAGAACCAGGAGACGGACATAGGATATTTAATTCCATTCAATCAAAAAAAATAAATTCCATAATCGGTTATTAATGACCTCTAGGGTGGAATATAGTTCGCTCGGTGAGCTTTACATATATCACAAATTCTTAAAAAAATAAAAATTTACTAAAACTTCTACCCAATTGGAAACATGAAGAGAACAAGACAAACTCAACGAGCCCAAACTCGATGGGTTTACTAAAAAGTAGTCCAGGGTTACGTCTCTTATCTTCGAGCCCTAACAGCAGACCAGCTCTGTGGTTCCAGAAGACATTAGTGTTTCAAATTACACAACCCGAGATTCAGTAAACGTCGACGAAGTTGCGGGCAAAAACTAGTATATATAAAACAAACAAATATTTGTCCGTGAGTACTTTTCAGCGGATACAATATAATGGTTTGTGAAATGTTTATAAGATCGGTATCAAATAAATAAACTAATATATCAAAGGCGCCCACTACACATCCTGTTCAGCTTGTATACCATTGTTTGAACGAAGTAGAACCATCTATTTTAAAACAAGTTTACACCTAAACGTCCATTAAACGGATCGTAAATCAAAACACGCAAATACTAACCAGAATAACTCGGATACTTTATGAAACTTGGGAAATGAGGATACATGAAAAATACGGCCATGTAGGCTCCTCACCAGCAAGCAAGAAAAAAAGAAGAGAAGATAACTAAGATCATTATACCAATGACCAAGTACGCAATAAGAAAATTACGTTAAACATTCAAATCTAGTCAAAAAATATGTCTCATTAAAGAATGGATATATAACTTTTTATTATCACTCATTAATTCTATAAACTAGAATTTTATGATACTCTAACTATTTCAATCTTTATATACAAGACCCAAGAAACAAAAAATCTGCCCGTGATCACGGTTGCTGTAAAGTAGCCGAAAAGTCGTGAGTATGTACTTTATAGTAACAAAAACACGTAGTAAATCCGAAAATATGTTTCATTTAATTGAGTACTCTCGAAAATCTTAGATCTCATTACCCAAAACACAGTTTCAAAGTTAATATATATAAATGGTAACCCAAAATCATAATAAACAATGTTGCCACGTCAAATTAATTTTAATTATATTTTAGTGAATAAGCCGGTTGTTTTAACATTTCAAATCCCGTTTACGACTACGCCAACAATAGAATGTTAAATAACAAGCTAACAATGTTAAAATTTAAACATCTGCTGGTAATTTTAACATTATAAATATTAAATTTAAATTACAAGTATTTGAGAGTAGGTTGAGTATTATATGTGTATATCCTCCTTTTATCACTTCAGTATCTATCATATCATATCATTACTATATCATCTTTAAATTAGTACTTTAAGAATTTAATGTGTTTTTATTTCGAATTAATTTTCTATTACATAGAGAAGATTGAACCTCGGAAACTATTTCAATATTCAAAATCGGCAAACAGCAAACATATTTTAAAATTATATTCATCTACATTTTTTTTAAAAACTATAAACACAGATAAATATTATTCACAAATTTGTTATGAACAAAAAAAAAGCATCTAACATAGTTTAAACGGAGCACAAGTTAACAAATGAAACAAAAAAGTGGTAATTAACTTTACCTATAGGACAAAAAAAGGACATCTACATTTGATCTAGATATAAAAATAAATAAAATTTAATAAATTGGCTCAGAGATATTCGGAAATAATTGAGTTGTCACTCAATTTACTCAGTTTTTATAATAAGTGATTCAATTATTATAATTATTATATATATTTATAGCAATTTTATATATCTAGAACATATTTTCTATTTATTAAGTATGTATCAGTAATAGCAATTTGCTAATTTTAATATAAATAAAATATTACTATAATATACTTGAATGCTTTAATACTATCAATTATTAAGTGTTAATTATACACATATAATAGAAACTGATACTGACGGACATATACTGATAGAAATCAGTTTATATATATATTTAAATATCCCCGAGCCAATATAATGAACAAAAATGATGGGTAAAACAAAAAAAATGAACACACTTCTAAGGACACTGCATCTACTTTGCCACTCACGATGAGGTCCTCTTCCCTTATCCTCTCCGAGTTCTTGCTGGCCGCCCTGAATGTTGCCGCTACATACTTCTGTTCCTCCTTAGTGAGTAACGCACATTTCGCTGCCAACTTTTTGCTAGTGTTACCCATTCTATAATAGATTTTGATTATATAATAGTATATATAACTATACCTCTTTTCTCATAATACATCAGAACTATAATATTTGAAAAAACTTTAAAAAATATAGAGGTATTAAGTAAGTATTTTAATAATAATTTGTTACCTCTATGAAATGTAAAGTTAAAGAATAGTAGCCTAAATTGTCATTAAACAGTTTTTGATCATTCATTTAGCACACTTAGATAAGGAAAACTGGAGTTAATAGATCTTGTTTATACGTAATAAATAAAATTCATAGAAAAACAACTGATTTAAATAAAATGAAATGAAATGAATTTAAAATATAATCAACTGACTATGTTTTGAAATTGCAGCTAAGAATACTATTTTGTATACTTGCGAATTTAAAAGAATTTTAAACGTAAGTCACGAGTTAAGAATCATATGAGAGCCTTTGGAATCATGACTTTTCTTTACGTTTTACTGTAAGCTGACCTTACATATAATAAATTCTTCACAAGGATAAAAAAGGAGGCTGTTTATATTTTACCTGTCTTAATAAAACAAACCTTAATTTATTTTACTCATAACTTAGAATGTCTGATAAGTCATTTCACAAAATACTTCAAAAAACGCAACTAATCAATAGCATTTTTGTTGATTAAATCATTAAATTGAATTTGAAAGATGAGGTTAACTGTCAGATTACATTTTTTTATTTACTCACTTGTCGTTGATAACAAAACGAATGCCACGGCCGCGGTCTTCACGAGACACAACTTGCGTCACACGTTACGCTACATCGACTGAAATTTTATCGAGTTCATAACTAAAATTTGGTCTGAAAATAAACCGCCAAACAATACAATGCGAATATTTAAACTTGAACATAACGTACAATTAATATCAATGTATGTATTTGTTCCTAAACATGAAACAAATTCAATTACTAAAAGTTTGTTATTTAGAAGTAAATATTTTGGAGAAATAAAAATCATTTAGCCAAATTGCAAAGATTTCTTGAGTGTATTATTTTATTGTTTCTGATCAAGTCAATTAACTAAAAAAATATATAAAATTAAAAATACCAGAAAATACGTTTTGTCCTATCACAATATTAAAAATAAAAGGCTCTATTCGATTTAATCTTCTTTGTAGGAATTTTTAATCTATGGACATGACTCGAGAAATTAAAGTGATTTGACATGTATGATTTGTCAAAAGTATTGTCATGAAATTGTGCTGTTAGGAATCTCACTGAGCATTGTGTTGTTCTAATAAAAGAAAGTTCCTTATACTTGATAAATTTCATGTAACAAGAAAGAACTCAAAATGACGCTTACCAAAATGGAAGTGGACTCCGTAAAAGGAGAGGGCTTCCGACCGTACTACATTACGAAGATCGAAGAACTGCAACTCGTAGTTGCCGAGAAGTCACAGAATCTTCGACGTCTTCAGGCTCAACGGAATGAACTTAACGCTAAAGTTCGTATGCTGCGAGAAGAGCTGCAGCTGTTGCAGGAGCAAGGATCTTACGTCGGCGAGGTCGTCAAACCAATGGACAAGAAGAAGGTTCTGGTTAAAGTACACCCAGAAGGTAAATTCGTTGTAGACCTGGACAAAAATGTCGACATCAACGACGTGACCGCTAATTGTCGTGTCGCTTTACGAAACGAGAGCTATACGCTACACAAGATTCTACCAAACAAAGTTGATCCATTGGTATCGCTTATGATGGTGGAGAAAGTCCCTGATTCCACGTACGAGATGGTTGGAGGTTTAGACAAACAAATCAAGGAGATTAAAGAGGTAATTGAACTACCAGTTAAGCATCCCGAGTTGTTTGATGCACTCGGTATTGCTCAGCCAAAAGGCGTCCTTCTTTATGGTCCACCAGGAACTGGTAAGACACTCTTAGCTCGTGCTGTCGCCCACCACACTGAATGCACCTTCATTCGTGTCTCAGGTTCAGAGCTTGTGCAGAAATTCATTGGAGAAGGTAGTCGTATGGTGCGAGAACTTTTTGTGATGGCTCGAGAGCATGCACCGTCTATAATTTTCATGGATGAAATTGATTCAATTGGATCATCTCGAATTGAATCTGGCAGCGGAGGAGATTCTGAAGTTCAGAGAACTATGTTGGAACTGCTAAATCAATTAGACGGATTTGAGGCTACCAAAAACATCAAAGTTATCATGGCCACCAACCGTATCGATATTCTGGATCCTGCTCTATTAAGACCTGGTCGTATCGACAGGAAGATTGAGTTCCCACCTCCAAATGAGGAAGCTAGGTTGGACATCCTTAAAATCCATTCACGGAAAATGAATTTGACCAGAGGTATCAATCTCCGTAAGATCGCCGAGTTAATGCCTGGTGCATCGGGTGCCGAGGTCAAAGGTGTATGCACTGAGGCCGGCATGTATGCTTTACGTGAACGGAGAGTCCACGTTACTCAGGAGGACTTTGAAATGGCTGTCGCAAAGGTCATGCAGAAGGACTCGGAAAAGAATATGTCTATCAAGAAATTGTGGAAGTAGATTCTTTGTATTCATTTAATTTTAAATTAGTTAATAAATATGCTTTTGTCTTATAATGATGTTTTATTCTAACCACAAATAATTTTTCATGAAATATAACTTTTTTTAATCAATATCAGCAAAAAATATGAAAATATGTATCTTAACAGTTTTATTATACTAAGTAACTAAAGAAACTAAACTCAAATGTGGCTATTTTATTAATTTGTACACTCAACAAGGTATATTAAATGAAATCAATTGATTTAGAAAAGCAAACATTTATTATTAATATAAAATCCATATTATTTATTATTGACAGAACAACAATTATGCTTATTCATAATTATATCTGTGATTCAACAAATACTCAAGGTAAATAAAAATTTGAATTGTATTTAAATCTGCCAGCAGATTATTTTGTAACTTCATAACTAATCATTTGATCATTCTTCTTGTTTCTCTAACATCCAAATCAGATTCCGTGTCTGAAAGATCTTGCTGTTCTTCATACGTGCCATTTGAAGCCTGGAAACAAATATTCTATTATAAAAAGTAAAGATGACTTTTTTTGTAAATGTTTCTATAGATACGAGTCCTTTTGAGCCTAATAATGACTCTTAGAGAAATGTTACCAACTCTTTATATAAATGTAGATAATGTTACCATACTTTTTGCAATTAATAATAAATAACTTGATCATTATTGACTGTTATAAACATTGATATATAAGAATTTTGCAAATATTCATTTAAATGGAACTTATTTTATTCGGGTACGCGTATTTTATTATTTAAAAAGAAACTACATACTCCCGACGTTCCAGTTATTTTACAGCAACCGTGATAACAAAAGTATAAAATACGCGTAGTAGGTGATCCAAAAAATATTAGTTTGATTTAAATAATATAAATACAAGACTATATTTTTCATCTTACGATCGGCTTCTGTCTTTCGAAGGATTCCCGCCAAAAATTACGTACGAACTGCAGTGGATTCACAAACTCGTGGCTCATTGCTCTGAAAGTAAATAAAAATTTTATGTATATTTTAAGGATGTAATAACATTAAATGAAGTAAAATATATTAAGTAAAAGCTTACCCGGCTTCAGGAACATCGATGATTGGGTGTGAAAGATGTGTCATTCCTTCAGGTGTGTTGTGATACCTCACTCTGCAATGAAGATGTAGATAATTAATAATGTTTCCAGAAAATTCTTCAGAATCTATTATAAGGTTCAATGGTCGTATTAATTTTTTTATTGTAGACAAAAATTTGTTAGCCATGTGCCTGGCTGATTTGAACTTAATGTGTAATAAATTTCTATAAAGGAGATGTATACCAAACTTTTCACAGATGTAGTTGGGTAAGCTATATTTTTTACAAAAAGCTTATTGTTTTATCGTTTTTCCTAAATCATTTAACTGTTTTGGATTTTTAAGGACTTTTTGCGTCTTTTATGCCAAAAAAAAGGAGAAAATGATTTGAAATAAAATATATTTATAGCTATTATTATACATAGTACAGCAAATACTCTTTACTGTGACTTTCGATAAATTCCTGTTTGAAAGTGTTTGAGATACAGATGTAAAGCTTTTTAAGTATGATCATTTTTTATGTATTTCAGTTTAAATTCAACTAAATATGTTCAATGCTTAAACATTACCATTAGAAAAACATGCAATGCAACATATGGCACAAAAAAAAAGCTTGAAAACCATGCAACCTGAGTTATACATATTTGACAATTTGAGTGTTGCTATTTTAATACTTATACATATATAACATACTGTATATATTCGGCTGGCGCCTTATTTTTTCTGTAGAGGCGGTAGTGGAAAAACGCTGCCGCGTATACCGCGAGCATGAGTAAGAGCACCCATAGAAATGTTAGGGACCACACGTGGGAATGAGAGCCATCACTGAATACAGCCTGCTGTAATAAATTAAATATTATATTAAATGTTTAATATAGCAACATTTCTTTTTATGGCGTTTATGTCCAATAATTAAACGCCGAATGTTGTAAACGGACGTTTTTAAAAACGACATTACCTAAAGCTGGATTCCATGACAAATAAGTATGGAAGATATTAAAATAGAATAAAACATTTAAACGACTAATATACTGTTCCATGAAAAAAATTTATATGACAAGACGAGACTCGATAAATTGGTGGAAATTTCTAGAACACTTCGAAACTGGGTCCCTTAACTTTTTAATATGAAAAATTTGTTAAATTAATTTTCTCTATACTAATATTATAAAATAGACTAACCTCATCTGTCCCTACCACAGAGCATACTCCATCCTTAACTATACTGCCGTCATGACACACGCACACACCCACACTATCCAACACACACACATGCCCGCATTCCGTGACGTCACACGCGTTGATGACGTCATCTCTTTGTATACTCTCATGACTTAGAACGAAGTTTGATGCGTTGTACACGTGGTTGAGAGTCTCGCAGGCTTTGGAGCCGAAGTGCAAGCAGCGGGTTATGTGGGAATTGTGTATGAAGTATATGTAGTCCTCGAAGAATGAGAGGTGGGGTGTGCTTATAGGATGATCTATTAGTGTTATGCTGAAAAATTAATATATATACTAATAATCATATATAATAGAGTATTTCATTAATAATAAATGTAATGTGACGATAAATAAAGCATTTGTAGTGTCCTTGTATACATAATTTTACTTCGGCATTCCAAATTCAAAAGCTGCGAATCTATCATAATTCATAAAAAAACATGACTATCACAGGCAAAGGTATTCCATCATTCAGCCATACTCACAGATTGCTGCCATCATATCCGACCTTCATGATACCAGTTGGAGTGCTGATATATAGGTGTTTACTGAAGGAGTTCACAGCGAGGCCCAGACAGGCTGGAACTGTAGCCACGTCGTATGGAGAGCGACCAGACATTGAAGATGAGCGTATATGAGCTTCAGATGAGTCAGATAGACAGTAGAATAATAAATGATTTGCGGGGTCCGTGACTAGGGATGTCACCTGCAAGAAATATGTGATGATAGGGTTGTCTCCTGATTAGATGAGTTTATATGGCTCTGTGACTGTCAATGTCACAAAAGAGGTAAGGTTTTATGTTTCTTTTGAATAAGTATTGGCTTAAATTGTATGTTTTTTTTATTTTATAAAGAGACATTGAATATCCGTTTTAAAAAAAGTTATTATTTCTCGATCACGAACCTGTACACCTGTGGGTATCTTCTGTAATTTGGCGCACTTCTGCTTTTTGAAATTACAAACTCGTATGTAGCTTTGAGACGGAGTGCTGTCTACGAAGTACACGTTACCGGTTACCCAATCCACTGATAACTGTTGAATGAAACTCGGATTAAATTAAAACCAAAAAGGTTGAATACAATTTTTTAAATATAATAATTCGAAATTCAAACAGTACAATTTTATGTTTCGTTTTACTTCATTCGAAATTCAAATATAATGTAACATATTTAGTAACAATTTGATTAGGTAACTGTTGAATTAGTCATTATTTTATTCAGTTTGAAGTTTATGCTGTTCTTGGGACCGTTTCGTGTGAAAAAAGTATATTATCTTGTAAGTATATTTATTTTTGTTCTAATCTTATGCGACTTATTCCATCGTGTTAATGCCGTGAGTTTTATTTTCTTACGTAACTCACAATAACCACCCTAATATGAGCTGCAAGATGTTCTATGGGCTTTAATTATTACATTACCTTGCCAGGTCTCCCTATGTTGGTTAGGCTTTTGACCGGCGGCTGTCTTTTGTTGTCCACTTCAATCAGCTTACCGTTTGCACTCGAAGTAAAATATAACTTGCCTCGCCTGTACATATACATATATTAAAAAATAAATATGTAAGGAATTAAAACTTAAAAATTACCTTAAATTTCTTGTCATACCTGACATCGCAATCCAAGTCGCTAAGTTCGTCCCCTTCATGATAGAGCATTGTATGTACGTGTGAGGTCAATGACCAGGCAGCACCCCCCCGGGAGTACAAAGTGGAGGGAGCCCCGTATAGGGCTTTACACGAGCGACGGTCCAATCTGATAATTATGTTTTACACATATATTTATATACATAATCCCAGTTAATACGTCACACTATACACAGCTTTAAGAGTTTTGCATTCTTAAGTAACATATATTAATTTATATTATTGAAATAATTGGCGACTCAGGTCATTCACCCACGGTGACGATTTCGCCAATTAAGTTGAGTCGATTTTGTTTTGTTCGATAGCAAAGTCATCAGGGTGGTTTTTAATCAAAAATTTTGTTCGGACAACCGATTTAAATTTTAAGGCCGTAAAACCGGAATATATGTAAAAAAAAATCGTTACCGAAAAAACTGAGGTCACTCACTACTATTAATAGTAGCTTATTTGAAGCGATAAAATGCGTAGATCTTCTACTTCAATATCGACTTGACGTTAATTAGTATTCGCTTTGACAGCGTCACCAGGAGGGTAGAATCGAATCGTATATAGTTTGACGATACAACTTTTACTGCGCCTACATTTTATTGGTATGGAGTATAAGAATTAAGATTCTGTTACATTAATTGGACAAACTATTGGAAAATTTTACAATATTCCTATATGGCAAAACAAAGACAAAATTACATTACCTAAGTCTATATCCACTATAGCAGGCGCACACGGACGTTTCCCCATCAGTGTGACAAGTGTGCGAGCACTCTTCACAGATATTCTTGCATGAGCACCTCGGGCCACGAGGAGTTCGTCGAGATATACAACCAGCAGCGCAAGTACTGTCTAGATTGCAAAAATCATATATACGTTTTTGCTATATCAAGGGACATCGTTTTGTTTGAGGTTTTTAGTCGCTATGTACCTATCTCATGTTGGGTAGAAATTATGCTAACAAGGCACTTGTTTAGCGTTTTTTGTGTATAAAAGTCATAGTAGGGCCTATATTGGACTTGCCCTGTTGCATTAATCATATTATTGTGATTTTATATGTAGTTTTTATTTTAATCATATTATTAAGTTATTTGTGACTCACTACAAAGTCCGTTCTCATCGGAGCCGTCCCGACAGTCTTTTTTGTCGTCACACACATGTTCCCACAGCAGACACTGTCCATCATCACAGCGGTAACCCTCGCATGGTGTTTGAGGTATTTGTATCAGGGGTTTTGTTTTATTCGCTGCGAAGGAAACAATAATTTAATTAAACAATTAAATTTTATATGCAAGGACATATTTTATCTTTTTCAGTTTGCCTAAACGGATGGATGATTATTTTTAATCGAATAGAATAGAACTTTTATAAACTCGTTTTAAAATAATTAATATCCATCCTTTCTTAACTTTGCCTATATAAAAAATATAATTAAGATATTTTAATAATTTTAGTTCTATTTGAGATCATAACTGAATATTCTTTTAATTGACCGTATTGTCATACAATTGTAACTATACCCATACCAAGAGATTTCCCCTTCAAACTCAATTTAGAGTCACAGATTTTGAATTCATAAATCAACGTCAGTGATAGTTTCAAGGTATATGATTTAGAAATAGATAACAGTGCGTGTTTACTACTAGTAATTGTACAAGGCCTTTTTTCTATTAAATAATAATAATTGATTTAAATGACAGAACGAAAACAGAAGTTACAAAAACCTCCAAAGAACCGAATATAAAAATCTATGTATTATAAAAATTTGATTGATCATCCTCAATGTACATTCAAAAAAAGCTTTTAATTTAACGTATAATATTCTCTCATCAATTTTCCTTGTCCAAACAAATAAAATTAAAAGGTTAAAACATGAACCCTTTTTTATGTAAAAAGGTGGCAAACGAGCTTAGGAGCCTACTTGATAGACAGTAATCGCCGTCGCCCATGGACATCCGCAATATCTCTGTTGCGAATGCGTTACAAACCTTGGTTTTTTAGGAACAGGGAAAGGTCGGAATAAGGGAATTTCAGGAAAAGGTGGGAATAGAGAAAGGACAAGACCCAAGTCATGTTAGGAGTTTTATTTTTGATTAGAAACTACATACTCCCGACGTTTCGGTTACTTTTCAGCAACCGTGATCACGGGCAGACGAGATGTGAGTGTCTGTCTGTTGGTCTGGTAATTTTATCACCTATACCTATAAAAATAAAACGCGAAGTAAAAACCGAAAATTTTAGTTTCATTTAAATGAGTACTCGCGAAAATCTTAGATCTCTTTATATTAGGAGTATTCTTTCAAACAGACCTCTGACACAAACGTCGAAGGTCTCGTCGGATCCGTCAGCGCAGTCCTGCCTTCCATCACACAGCTGTTCTTGATACACGCACCAATGTTCCTGACTGCACGGGAATAATTCCCCACACTGGAAGTTACACCCAGCCTCGTCTGAACCACCCGGACAGTCGGTTCGGCCGTTACAACTGCCATGATAAACTTGTCAAAAAATATTTACACACAGAATCTTTTTTTATCTCAAGTTAAAGGACCAAATATTATTGAATAAGAGACGAACATTTTCAGCATTTAATGGATTCATAGTGCAGGTGTCCGGTCAATCATTGTAGTGAGAGGAGCTTCAACAGTGACTGGGACTTGCGACCCAGGTGTAGGTTTAAGGGACCTATATCTAACGCGCGTTATACGCTCACCTCCACCGTCGAAGCTCCTCTCTACCTAACCAAATAAGAAAAGAAGCTACTAGGGCAAAGTACGTTCCAAGAATATTATATGCAAAGAATTAGCGTGAGAAAGAAGATTTTAATTTCTGAATTATGATGCATTTTGTTAAGAAAGAGATGAAGTAAATGTAGTATTATTTAGAAAATTAATAAATAATTCTTACCGAGCTGTTTGTGGTAAGCAAATTGACTTGTTGTGCTCACATGTGTACTCCCACGAAGCGCACGACGACGTATCCTATACACAAAATAAACATACATATTCATGAACATGTACCTATTTTTTACATACTTAAAATATATCTTCATAAAAGGTTCAATAGAAAAGATTGCTTTATGAAAATATAAATGCTATTAATACAACACTTTGATATTCAAAATTAATTAGTTAGAAATCTTTCCATATTAAATCAAAATTTCGAAGATATATCGCACTAGTTTCGACGACTTTTTAAACCTGATTATTTTTTACAACATAATCTTAATAATATATGTATATATCCTACTAATATTATAATTGCGAAAGTTTGTGAGTGTGTGTTTATGTTTGTTACTTCTTCACGCTCAAACGGCTGAACCGATTTTGATAAAATTGTGTATACAGAAAGCTGACGTCCAGGAATAATACATAGGCTACTATACACCCCGGATATCCCGACAATCCCGGAAATCCGCGGGTAACACCGCGGGGCGCAGCTAGTTTAATATAAGATCAACTCACAATAACTCCAGCAAACTCCGGTTCATCGCAGTCCCTCTCATCCTCATGATCTTCGCAGTCGTATTTTCCATCACATCTCTTGTAAACTTCAACACAGCCGGTATCACATTCAAAGGTGCCGGAGGGACAGCTTTTACTCTCTATAGATAAATATATTACAGTAAAATTTTCTGCGAAATCTAATATAAATGGCAAAGTTTGTGAGGATTCTTGGTTGTTTGCTGATATTTCGTGCAAAATTACAAATCCATTTCAATGTACAGTTATATAGGTTAAACATCAGAATGCGACATAGGCCATAACAGCCCAAATCCCGTATAATTCATTTCATAAGAGTTGTAAACAGTAATAACTCGCGTGACACTAGGCATAGATAATGTAAACATTGCTTCAGTCTCAATTCAGAAGTACACGCAGACAAAACTAACAATACATAATGCTGCATTTAACATAGAGTGAAATATATACATCTTTAATTTCATTCAATAGAACATATTCGTTTGAACCTGTAGGAAGAAAGCTGTTGAGATAGTACGAAGTGCGTGAGCAGTGCCGCCCGGCATATAATATGTAAAAAACGATTTATTCAGTTCAGTTGTCAACACGCGTTCGCCTGAATGTCATTGTAATATCTTTCTGGCTTAAATATAATTATATTCACGTAAATATCGCCTATTCATTCATAATCCAACAGGTTATGGGCCCAGGAAGTGAATAACAATTGATTTTGTGCATAAAAGACTATATTCGAAGTGATTGGACACTAATATTAGTTTCATCGTAAACAAAGTTATAAACGCGTCGTCATCGAGTCCCCGCAAGTAAAGATAACGTTTCCTTTGTGCTAATTACTGTGTCGACCGGTTTAAAAAGACATTAGTTATTGTTGTGGTGTTTAAACATTTATTAAGTTGAAGAAGCTTATAAATATGGCTGCATCTATTAAAATTGACCAACTTACTGGTGATAATTACGATACTTGGAAGATACATATGCGAGCTATTCTGAAAAAGAATGATTTATGGGAATATGTATCGGGTGCCATCTTAAAACCTCCACCGAGTGACCCCAAGTATACAGAATGGCTTAAAATGGACGGCAAAGCAGAATCAGATATTTTATTAGCGGTTAGTTCGAGCGAGTTGGCTGCATTGGACGGTTTAGAAAGTTCTCGAGCTATTTGGGATAAATTGAAATCCATGTATCAGTCAAGCGGGCCGGCGAGAAAAGCATCATTGTTGAAGAAACTGGTGTTAACGCGAATGAAAGAAGATGATGACCTCAAGAAGCATATCGCAGATTTTTTCGAGGCTGTCAAGAAGCTGAGAGAAATCGGTTTGATAGTTATAGACGAACTTTTAGCGATTTTATTATTATACAGTTTGCCAGATTCGTTTGCTATGTTCCGGACGGCAATAGAATCACGCGACGATTTACCCTCAACTGAATCGTTAAAGGTGAAAATTATTGAAGACTTCGAAGGTCGTAAATCCCAAACGGTAGACCAGGGTGCTATGTTCGTCAAACGTATCAACAAAAACACTCATCTGAAGAAGAATTGTGATAACCATGGCCGTAAAGCGTATGTTGAATGCTATAGGTGTGGTCGGCGTGGACATATCGTGAGAGATTGCAAGGTCAAATATATGGGCAAGCACAAGAAGAGTGCACAGCAAGTAGAACGCGATGGCGATAATGAGCGTAAGACAACGATGTTATTGAGTACTACAGAAGATGTATTACTTGGTGAGCAAATAAATCCTATTTGGTGCATTGATAGTGGTTGCACGGGTCATATGTGCAATGAAAAACAAATGATCGAGGATTTTACACAATTAAACTCTGAATTGAATTTGGCTAATAGTGAGAGAACGCAAATAACCGGCACGGGTAAAGTGAGCATTTCAGTAGATACGGGCAGTGAAGAACGCCAAATTAATTTACAAAATGTATTCTACGTATCGGATTTACGAACCAATTTATTATCAGTAGCGAAAATGACAGATCGCGGGTTCGAGGTTCACTTTAAGAAAAATGATGCAACTGTATGTGACGAAAATGGAAAGATTCATTTGCGTGCAGATCGTGTTGGGAATTTATATCATGTGCGTATGAGTCAGAATACTGCGAGTAACGTTGAAAATAAGAAAAAATCTATAGATATTTGGCATCAACGTCTTGGACATCTCAATGAGCGTGACTTAAAGGCTATGTCGAAGAGTGGTCTAGTATATGGCTTAACATTTAATGATCATGAAAAATTGTCTGAATGTGATGTATGTGCAAGTGAAAAACTGGCATGTGTCCCTTTTCCAAAGTCAAGCGGACAGCGTACCACCGAGTTATTAGAAATCGTGCATAGCGACGTTTGTGGTCCGATGAAGACTCAGTCTTACGGCGGTAAGAAATATTTTATCACATTCATCGATGACAAATCGAGATGGTGTGAAGTCTACTTTATAGCCAATAAAAGTGATGTTTTCAATGTTTTCAAAACATTTAAGGCCTATGCAGAGAATTTAACTGGAAAGAAGATAAAGAATCTTCAGTCTGATAACGGCCGTGAATACGTGAATAACGAATTCGATGATTTTTTGAAGAAAGAAGGTATTAGAAGAAGACTGACAGCGCCTTATACGCCCCAACAGAATGGGATTGCTGAAAGGAAAAACCGAACATTGGTTGAAATGGCACGATGCATGATGCGTCAAGCCGGAAGCCCTCCAGCGTTTTGGGCAGAAGCAATTAATACTGCTAATTACATTAGGAATCGGTGTCCAACTACTGCCTTAAACGGTGAGATACCATTTACAATATGGAAAGGAAAGAAACCTACTGTAATATTCATGAATATATTCGGATCTAAAGTATATTATAAGGATAAAGGAAAGCAGAGAGGAAAATTTGAATCAAGTTCACAGTCAGGAATTTTTGTGGGTTATGATAGTCAATCCAAAGCCTATAGAATACATGACCCTACAACAAGAAAAATTGTTATTACTCGTGATGTGAAGTTCTTGAATGAAGCGTTTTTTAAACATGAATACAAAGAGATACTTGATGAAGAAGAAAGTATAGATAGTGAACAAATGAATATAGAATTGAATGAGCCTGTTTCAGATAATAGTACGAAGAGTGAAGATCAAAAAATACTAAGAGTAAAGAGAAATAGAGTTAGAACTAGAAGGTCACTTGAAAGAGTAGACGAATCAGATTTTGATAGAAATAGAAGACATGTTGATAGAAAAAGAATCGCAACTGTTTCATGGGAAGAATTAATAGAACCCCCTAAAAGAGGAAGAGGAAGGCCTCGCCTAATCCGTACTGGCATGGCGGGCAGACCACGAAAAATTTATAATTCATCTCAAGAAAATAGCGATAGTGAGAATGAATCTGAAGATAGAGAAGAACAATTAAGTGCAGGGATAGCAACGATAGAACCAATGACATGGAATGAAATAGAAAATAGTGATGACTTAAAAGCATGGCAAATTGCCCTTGAAGATGAGATCCTAGCACAACTAAAAAATAAAACATGGGAAATTGTACCACGACCGAAACAGAGAAAAGTTATTGGAAGTCGACTTGTTCTAAGTACTAAAAGTACAGGCAAGAAAGTACGTCTTGTCGCAAAAGGATGTTCCCAACGACCAGGGGAGGATTTTCATGAAACTTCGTCGCCTGTAGTAAGGACTTCATCAATAAGACTCATTGCTGCTTTGTCAGCTGAACTAGGACTAGAGATCCACCAGATGGATGTTGTAACAGCTTACCTGAATGGTTCACTTGAAGAAGAGGTTTACATGGAGGTGCCTGACCAACTTAGCGATGTATTAGAGAGAGTACTCGCGAATGAGAAAGTTGGATCACAGAAAAGAACAGTGACAGAGAAGAATATACTGAAGACAGCTAAAAGTTGGCATGAAGCTTTGAATGAATGTGTTAATAGTGTATGTTTGTTGAAAAAGTCTCTGTATGGTTTGCGTCAGTCTGGATTGCAGTGGCATAAAGAACTAGTGAGAAAATTAGTGGATTGTGGTTTTGAAAGGTTGCAGCAGGATCCGTGTGTGTTTGTTGCACAAAAGGGTGAGCGAATCATGTTAATTGGTATATATGTAGATGATATTATTTTAGCGACGGATGATATTAATTGGATGTGTGATATAAAGAAAAGTTTGTCATCAGCATTTGAAATGAAAGATATGGGTAAAATAAGTAATTGTTTAGGTATAGAATTTAGTCGTGATAATGAAAACAGAGTGTATTTAAATCAGAAATTGTATGTGAATAAACTATTAGAGCGGTTTGGTATGAGTGCATGCAAGTCTGCCATCACGCCTCTGGATATTAATGTTAAATTAGTAAAAAGTAAGTGTGTAAAACATGAAATAATGGAACAATATCCGTATCAAAGTTTGATAGGTGCCTTAATGCACCTTGCTGTATCAACCAGGCCTGATATTGCTTTTGCAGTGAATTATTTAAGCCAATTTAATACTAGTTATGATATAGAACATTGGAAGGCTGCTAAACGTGTGTTAAGATATTTAAAAGGTACATCAGATTATGGATTGGTGTATGAGAGGACAGGCTTACCTTTGTTTGGAGTGGTTGATGCAGACTGGGGTGGAAATACAGTGGATCGTAGATCTTATTCTGGTTTTGCATTTATTTTAGCCGGTGCTCCCATTAGCTGGGAGGCACGTAAACAACGGACTATTGCTTTATCAAGCACGGAGGCCGAATATATGGCTCTTTCCGAAGCTACTAAGGAGGCCATGTACCTTCGTGATATATTAGTTAATATTGGAATGGAGTGTGAAAGTGTTGTGTTATTCAATGATAATCAGGGTGCCATGAAATTAGCTGAAAGTAAGAACTACCATTCTCGAACAAAACATATTGATGTGAGGCACCACTTTATTCGGGATATGTACGAACAAGGTGTAATTGATCTAAAATATTTATGTACTAATCGAATGCCTGCTGATGTTTTAACGAAAGGTTTGAATGGGACAAAACATCATGAATGTATACGTAATTTAGGTATGGTCGATGAATGTATGTAAAGACTCAGATTAATATAAGACTCACGACTTCGAGGGGAGGTGTTGAGATAGTACGAAGTGCGTGAGCAGTGCCGCCCGGCATATAATATGTAAAAAACGATTTATTCAGTTCAGTTGTCAACACGCGTTCGCCTGAATATCATTGTAATATCTTTCTGGCTTAAATATAATTATATTCACGTAAATATCGCCTATTCATTCATAATCCAACAAAAGCTTTCTAACATAATGTTACTAGACTAAGATGGAAACTTGCCATAAACGATAAGTTTAGTATCAAGTCAAATCTGTAGAAAGTGTTTTGTAATTTATCAATAAAATTAGTCCATTTAGTAACAAAAGGCTTACAAAGATTACATCCATTATATATTTTTTGGCAGTTTATTACACTATAGAAATTATAGGAATGGTTTTATAGAAGTGCTGTATATATTCGATTCGGTATGGTTTCATTTAGTTGTTTAGGAAATTACAAATTTATAAACAAGTTCTCACCACAACCGATCTCATCGGAGCCATCCAAGCAGTCTTCGTGTCTGTCGCATTTCCACGCGAGAGGTATACACGATCCCGAAGCACACCTATATTAGGATAAATTTTTAGCCGAAAATTGCATTCCTAGAACCTTACCTTCCTTCAAATTATTGCATAAGCAGTGTTACGCAACGCTTTCCAAATTCATACAGTGAATTCTTAGTTTAATTACATATAAATAGTTACAAACAATATCTCAACAAAAACAAAGTTTATATAGTAGATATACAGGGTGACTGGTGAATTACTATCGATATTTGAGGACGTGATATTTGACGATCATATATGACAAAATAAAAATTAATATAACGTAAATATTAATAAACTTCTGAGTAAAGTTAACCAAAAGTTATGTAATTAATTACGCATCGTATGAACACCCTACAGATTAGGTATTAGGTACACACACACATACGCGCGCGGCGGCATGTTGTTGTATCAGCACGCCGCCGCACGCATTCACACTTGGAACACTTGGAACGTGTACACACTTTATTTATTTATACGGAAATTTGGTCAAAAATTAAGTACCTATTTTTTTTACATAATTCGAATGAGAATCATGTACCGAGTATGCTCCTTAAATATTGATAGTAATTCACCAGTCACCCTGTATAGAGAGAAGACACTTAAATCATAGGCAGATAGGTATAAAACTTTATTGACAGTTTGACGTGAATATACAGTTGGTTTAAACAAGAAAAAATCTTAGGGAAAGTTTGAAATTCGTAACCGAAATCCCATTTTCATATTCATTTAACCATTCATTACAACAATAAATTCAATAGGAACTGTTTTGTGCGATTTTTTTTTGGAAATGTTTTCACATACAAGTCCTTTTGAGCCTCTCTTTTGCATGATCACTGTTGAAATTGCTATGTCTAAAACTATGATGACCATACTAACATATACTCATGTTCTCCACAGTCCCTAGTATCGCAGGCATCGGGGTGTTCATCTGAAGCGTCTTTACAGTCCGCGTGTCCATCACACGCTAGCGACCGTTCTATACATATGGAGTTATCCGAGCATCGGAATTCCGAAGAACCGCACGATAATAACTCTGGAACCATGAAAGGTTAGGCATTAATAATAGTTTATGCTATTTTTTGTGTCTGATATTCCTATAGAGAGAGCAGAGGGTTAAACAATCTATGTTTTACAAGGGTCAAACTGAAAGTTCTTAGAACTGGCCACTTATAAACAATATAATAAAAAAATAATTCTAAAATTAGAAAATAGGACTCTTTGCCAATATTACTGAGTATATATTTCATATATTTGTTATTTGTTTTACGATTTGGCGGCAAATTGAAAATTGTCTGTGTCACGTCAACATGAATTTAACACAGAAAATTTTCGTGCAATGATTTTTTATGACTTTAGATGTCATTTAAGTCAATAAGAAAGTTATGATAGACTACGATTGGCCTTTCACGATGAGGCCCCATCTCGTGCGACTGTTTACAACTGGTTTAATGAGTTTAAACGTGGTCGCACTAATCTCAATGATGATTTACGTGAGGGACGGCCTTCTACGGTGACGACTGAAGATAACATCTGTGTTGTGCGGCGTATGACAGAGACTGACAATAGAGTGACCTATCAGCAGATTCGGACAAGCTTAGGCATCGGTATGAGTCAAGTGCACAAAATCCTCCACGAACATTTAGCGGTCAGGAAGCTTTGCGCCCGGTGGATACCTCATAATTTGACTGAGTCTCAAAAACTCCATCGTGTGGATTGGTGCCGTAAAATAATTGAAAGATTTAATGGAGGTTAATCAAATGCTGTGTTCGACATACTAACAGGCGACGAAAGCTAGATTTACTGATATGATCCTGAAACCAAAAGACAATCTGCTCAGTGGGTGTGTCCTTTCGAGGAGTTGCCAACTAAAGTGAAGAGAGATCGAAAAGCGGTAAAAAAAAATGTGGCCTTGTTCTTTGGAAGGATAGGGCATTTCGCAACAATTGTGTTAGAGGATCAAAAAACAGTTTCTGCAGAATGGTACACTACCAATTGTTTGCCACTTGTCTTGGAAAAAGTTCGAGAGAAACGACCTCGCAGTAGGATCCTCCTTCACCACGACAACGAAGCGTCGCACACCGCCAAGCGAACGATCGACTATTTGGCGACATCAAACGTTGAATTACTGGGTCACCCGCCGTATAGCCCCGACCTCGCGCCTTGTGATTTTTATTTATTTCCAAAAATTTAAGAAAAACTTAAAGGAAAGCGGTTTATGAATGCTGAAGAAGCGGTGGCTGCGTATCGCGATGCCATTGAAGAGACCCCTAAGGACGAGCGGGCAAAGTGCTTTTCCCAGGGGTTCCATCGCATGCAGCGGTGTATTGATGTGAATGGACAATATTTTGAAAAGATATAATAAAACTAATAACTGGCTAAAGTAAATCAGTTTTTGATTTTCTAAGAACTTTCAGTTTGACCCTCTTAAATGTTGAGAATTGAAAATATTGTACTTTAAAGGGCTAACATCATTAATAAGCATGGTAAATGGGAAAGGCTGATTAGCATTCCGAAGTTATGACGATTGTAAAGACAAAAAAGTAACATGCTATATTAATTAGTAACTCAATTTTCAGCTAGATTTCAATGATCTAAATTCTATTGTTTTCTTAACAGTAAACTAAGTACGATCTTATTTTAAATTGATCAGAGTACAAGACCACAAAAAAAAAAGAAATAAAGATATTTCCAAAATGTGTATAGTTGGAAAGTAGTGGAGTTTAATGTATAATATATGAAATGATTTTGTAAAACCAAATAGCTATTACTTACGTTTCGTTGTATTGTTTCGACAAACTTCTGTTCTGTGAATACAAGTTCCATGACAATCGATTTCGTCGTCTTCACATGTTTTCAAGTAGTATGTTCCTGTATCTGAATACAAAATAAAATAACTTTAAAATTAATATCAAACAAAACTTGATTTTATCGGACGGTCGTCTTTAAAAACCGTACCAAAAAAGTCATTGGACTATTAAAAAACAGAGAAAAATCTATTGGAATCAATTTTAAAAGTGAGACTCTCAACAAAAAGACTTACGTAAGCACCCTTCTTCGTCTTCACCAAATTTGCAATCTTCAATACCATCGCATTTTTTGCTACCATCAAAGCATTCATTGCTCTTATGACAATAAACCTCATGCTCTTTACATTTTGTGACTTCGTGACAGATCCCATTATTATTTATGAAGCCGACAGGACACAAGCAAGTGTATTGCAGAGGCGCTGAATCGATTGACCCAGGTTTTACGTACTCATGAGATTTTTGCACACAAATATGGGAACAAGGAGGGTTCGAGTTAGTGCAAGTATGACCATGCGACTTAGGAAGAGGTGAAGTAGCGAGTATAACCAGATGTGTGGTGTTTGGAAATATTGCTGAAACAATAAATAATGTTTTATCAATTATAATAACAGTTTTGGTATATAAACCAGGTAGCACTAATATGAGCAAAGTGGTTACTTAAAACAGGTAACTTTTACACGACAGTTATGTTTTATTATCTCTGTCTATATCCAAAGTTTTTGATACAATTACTTAAAACAACTACTAATTCTTACCAGGTAATAAAATGAAAAGGTTTCTGTTCAAAAGACTGTATGTATACGCAAATGACAAAAGAATTTATGTATATATGAAAATATAATTTTAAAGACACCTTCAATGACTGGTAAATAATGAAATATTCTAACTCTATTCAGTCCTAATCTTAATGTAGTTTATATAATAATAAACTCACATAATTCTATTCTTCGTATCTTCCTCGTCGCGTCATGTATATCTGCCCAATATAATTTGGTCGACCGTCTGTCCGTCCAGAACACATGATTGTCGGTCACAGCTAGACTGGCGATAGTTGTTACGACTTCACGGAAGTTTTCTCTACCAGTACCTATACAATGGAATTACATCAACTATAATAATTACATCCACATACATCAACAACTGATTTTGTAATCATCATCAGCCTATCAGAGCCCACTGCTGAGTAAAGGCCTCTTTCTCACATGGAGAAGGTTTGAGCACTAATCATCACGCTTGCTCAAGACGAGTTGGTGATTTCAAACTTATAATTGTGAAATTATAAGTCCCGGTTTCCTCACGATGTTTTCCTTCACCGTATGTCAGTGGTATCTAATATGTAGTAAATGTGTCTAATTTTTTAATGTTAACAAACACACAAACTAAAACACTAAACACTCTTATAAAGTACATACTTATGACTCCTAAAAATCACATTGGTACTTGCCAGGAGCGAATCCGCGCCCTAGTGAACGATAGGCAGACCCTTTTAACCACTGCGCCACCATTGATTTTGTAATTATCGTATATAAAATCTGAATTTTGTCATAGATAAATTCTTAATTATTATCAATGGATTTTATATGGTGGTAAAGTCCTTTCCCTTTTCCCAAGTCAAGGGTGGTAACGCATCCGCAAAATTTTGTTGCGAATGTAGGCCATCTGTTTGTTTGCCCCTATGTCATAAAAATGGCTATCAATTTACATACCTTGTGGATGTAGAAAGTCGATTATTCCGTTTTGATCATCAGATAGAAATACTACATCCAGATCAGACGAGTACCTCATACGGATATTTGGACCTTGGAAAGACAGGAATAATATTAATTGCTAAAAGAAACTTGAAAAGCCAATTAAATATAATTCCTTACCACGTGTATTATTTGTAACTATACGTTTACGATCATCACCATCGAGTCCGAACGAATCTATATAGATGACATCTTTATCTGTATCCAAGACAGCAACTAACATACGTCTATAAAGAAAACAAAGTTATTTGTTTAATATTTGTGTAAAAACTATTTGTTCTTTGAAGTGAATCTTCTTTAGGCGCATGAGAGTAAAAAGTTTACAGATGTAACGTCACGCCGGTATGCAACGGAATTGTTGAAAAAGAGAGAGAGAGAGAGAGCGATCTAGACCGATTGAGAGAGAGTGAGACGGCGAACGTAGCGTGAAGCAACTAGCCATGGAGTGAGAGTAGGAAGAGAGTGAGTGAGAAAGATTGAGAGAAAAAATGAGACAGAGCGAACATCGTATCACGCACAGTGCAAAGAAGTCTCACTTCTGACATGTGTACTTTGAAAACACGCATGTTTTTTCTGTGTTAACAACTTTGTTATATTAGACGTGTTTTTATTTGTTTTCTTATAATAGATTTCGCAATACTCTTACCCGTACGCTGACAAAACACAAAAGCTTATGGGTATTTCCTCTTCTATAAATCGATATAGTAATGCTGTTTGTTTGTTCTTCAGTGAAGTTACTTCTATAACGTGACGACCAGCGTCCAATATGTATAAAGAATCTGATACATCATCTACAAAATAATGTTAGCAATTAATTTTAACCAAAATATAGATATTTTTGTTAAGTATAAATATTATTCCTTTTATTAATAATAATTCAATAAAATATTCTAAAATGTTATTTTTAGTCACAGTTACGTACCATAATCCATATCAACAACATTTTCCAGACCCTTGTATATAAAAAGGTGAGTAACGCCGAGGGTAAAGTCACTCATTACGATTGAGTTGATAGACTTGTGTTGACCGTCGTAGATATAAAGAGTATCTGGCGATAAAAAATCATATACAAACGCGGATAAAAGAATCTTTTTGAACAAAGTAAAAACATGACTCCATTAAATAGCAATTTTTAGAATAACATTATAAAATTTATTGCAAATATTCTTTCAGGTTTAACATTTCCAAAAATCCTACTAACTGGCTCAAAACCAGGGCAGTTGTTTTGGTAAAACCAAAAAACATCAAAAAAATGCTTCTATGGATAAAATATTAATGATAAAATATAATATAATCCTACCTCTGAAATTATCATATGCCATGGCCTGGACCCGTCCTATGTCGAGGACAGTCGAGTGTGTCTCGGGGTTTCCAACAGTATCATAATATATTCTGATGAAAGCTGAGCCTGATGCTACCAATAAGTAGTCAGGACGGTAGCCCGGTATCCCTTTAAAAAGTATCAAACCAATATATCTATGGCTTTTGAATTGCAAAACCACAAAAAGATGGATTAAATCGTGAATTTAAAAACCACTCTTAAGATTTATATCAAAAAGTGGTCTTGATTTAATAATTACACTAATTAACTATGAATTTGAATTTGTTATTGGAAAAAATCCATGTCAAAAAACGTAATAACTTTATTTTGAATTTTATTATGATTTTTTTTATCAGTGTTAGATTAAGCCATACTTACATTCGCAATGGCCTTTCACATTTTGCATAGAATCTGGACAGGCGCAGACAGAAGTTGTGTTTGATGTGATAAGGCAGAGTGGACACGAGCGACTTGAACACGGGTTGTGAGTGGCGTTCGTGAGGATCGGGTGGTAGAGATGCATATCTGATGGAAAAGTATGGAAGATCAATAATAAGCTAATGTAAGGACCTAAAAATTATCAATCTGCTTATTAATTTTGCAGCAAAAAAGTAAAAATTCCCATGATTTTGTTTCGTGTTACAGCTTTTTATAGATCAAATCGTTGCTTGACAAGAAAATTAAGTGTTAAAAAACGTATTTTATTTGGTATTAATACATATTACCTTATGTTAGGTATTGGAGAATTCATTAGACAGGAAATGTTACTTGTTTGGTAAGTTATAAAACATTTGAAATTAATTTAGATTAGTGATTTAAGTTCAAGCATACCATTCAGTAAAATAAGAATAAATAAAGTATTTCTTCTTGGCCACGTACAAAACTACGAAAATATCCACTTAACGACAAAAAAATACATATTTGAATATTATTTTGTAGCTACTTAGTAAACCTTGTATCGTACCCTGAAAATTTTTTGAAAGGAAATTCAGGAATTCTAAAATCACAGTCGAAAGCTTACCAAATACCGGTACATCCAGAGTCAGCAAAATATTCCTATTGATGCTAGTGCCGTGTATTTTATCTGCTGTCTGTATGGTCCTAGAAGTCCAATCACTCCAGTATATTGTGTTTTCAAACACTGACAGAGAGTAGGGATGGTGGAATTGCTCTTCGAAGAACGACTGAAATAATTATGTAACGTCCAAAAAAATGGCTGACAAATTTTACATGAATTGTTCACGTAATATATTAATTTAAATCATTATTGTAAGTACTTTTATATAAAACTAGCTTTCCGCCCGCGTGAATTTTGGTTATATCGTGTTTCCAAGAGAACCTTTCAAAAGTCTGGGATAAAAACTATCCTATGTTCTTTCTCAAGGTCAACTCCATCTCTGTACCAAATTTCATTAAAATTAGTTCGGTGGTTTAGGCGTGAAAGCGTAGCAGACAGACAGACTGACAGAGTTACTTTCTCATTTATAATATTAGTAGGATTGTAAGAGGTCAACTCACATAAACTCTCTTATCATTTAGTATAACAACTTTAATAGTTCCATCAACGAAGTACAATCTTCCGTTTGGTGCATCCAAAGCAAGTCCTTTAGCAAAGGAACTCAGTTCGTGCACAAGTATTTCTGATTCCGAGCCATCCATCTTAGCTTTCATTATAACAGGCTTGTCTTGTTTATCAGCCCAATACATAACGCTAGAAGAATGTTTTATTAGAAAAAAGTTAAATTATAACACAAACATCTGATTTGAGTTTGATTGTTGATAAAATTAATTTTAATTAGCTTAAGCCAAAACTTAAAAAATAAATATATTTACTGCTTTATAAATGGAACCAATAAAGTAAAAAGTACAAAATAAAGTAAAAAATAACAAAATTCATGGATCTAATATTATAATGCAATCACATCTTTCTGTAACAAACCACTTATATAGGATACCTGATGGTCTCAAAAATAAGTAACTCTTAGATTAGTATGATAAACCATTCGAAATGTCAAATTTATGGACTATAAAATGAAATTTGAATGTCAATTTGAGGGATTATGAGACGGGATGTCAATGTCAAATTGATAGACTATGACATGGAATGTGAATATCAAATTTATGGACTGTAGAATACGCAAAAAGCCTCACCCCTTTCTTGGATCCAGTGTAACAAACTTTGGTCTTCTCGTATGTGCGGTGAGCGTGACGCAAAGAGCTCCATCAGAGCGACAAACAGTAATACAGCCGCGGGCTGTGTCACTGAAGTAAATGTTATCACCCAGATAGTCCACAGCTATATCTCCCGGATCCTCAAGACCCAAAGCAGCCAGAACCTGGAACATTCACTAGTTAATGTACTCCCTAACATAATTTCTGGCCATTTATTTTAGGAAGCCATTATAAATTCAGTGTAGAATCGTCATATGTAAGTACATATAAAATATACTTCTATCTTTGGAAATGTTTTTAGATTCTGCAGAAATCCTAGTTGGGTACAATTCTGATAGTTCAAAGATGTCTGTGCTTATATATTTGTTACAAAAAAAGTTTCAATAAATACAATATTTATAATAAACTAGCTTTCCACCCGCAGCTTCGCCAGCTTGGATTTCGGTTATATCGCGTTTCCAAGAGAACTTTTCAAAAGTCTGGGATAAAAACTATCCTATGTTCTTTTTCAAAGTCAACTCTATCTTTGTACCAAATTTCATTAAAATCAGTTCAGTGGTTTAGGCGTGAAAGCGTAACAGACAGACAGTGTTACTTTCGCATTTATAATATTAGTAGGGATGATGTGTACGAATGTTTTATGTAAATAGTATAAACCTGTTTGGTTCCAGCGACATCTTCTAGTTGAGCCTTCATGATTGCTTGATGTCCTTTCTCTGTTTCAACCCAGTATAAATATTTGCCGTCGTATGCAACACCGTGGGCCTTGAAACAGAGGATTTTTATTATAGATGCATATAATTATTTAGGAGTTTTCGCTATTTTTTCAATATATACAAATAAAAGTTTCATTTACAGTATTCTAAATAAATTATGTTAGCGTCTGCGGATTTTGTCACATTTATAGCAATAAAAAACTAATTTAATATATATATTTTTTTGCATACTGACGAAGATGTGGGAAAAACTAGTATTCTATTTATTTTATAATCCTACAAGTAAGATCAATTTGTGTTTTTTACCTTTTTGATTCCAGTTAATACAGTGACGCTATGGTTTGATTTGACTGTCACGTACTGGATAGAGTTTTGGGTACTAAAGAACAACATCGCTTCTGGACCTGGAAAAAAAGGTCAAGAAATATTTAATGAATAGGTACGATAACTATTATGAGACAGTCCTTTACTTCCTAAGTCATAATGAAATTTATCGTCAGGTGGTGATACTCACAAAGTAGCCAATTAATAGTAAAAAAAGTCTTACGTCACATTCTATATATTTTAAGCCTTTAGCCTTACATTTCTGAGAAAAAGACGGGTTTATTGCATTAAAAACATGTCTAGTTTTAGATTTTCGTGCTTTTAACGCTACTTTTAAGTAAATTATAATGGATATTTTAAAAATTTTACTGCTTATATTTTAGAATTTCAAATCTATTTCCAAAAATAATTATAATAGATATCTCTACTAAGAACTCCTATTATAAGATATAGATTTCGTCATACCAGGAGCAAAGCAAAGGTACTGAGCATGATCTGATTTGTATCCATCATCACAAGTGCACTTAAAGTAGTCTCCCATATCCTCACACATGTGGGAACAGACGGGAACTTCCTGGAGACACTGTCGGGAATGCTCACACTGACCACTGCTGGGATTGTACTCCTTGTAGGAGTTGCACACGCATGTAGCACCATTACGAGTTGGCTTACAGAATGACTCGCTGGGACAGGTTTTGTTTGCACACATTTTGGTCCCTTGAAAAAATGTTCTCTGTTTAGACGATAGAACTCTATTAAAAAAAAGTCATATGAATCAAAACATTACGTTTTGTGAGAAACTTAATTATAGATAGAAAATTTTTGAAAATTATTTAAATAAAGGACAATTACGTATCATTTCTTTTAGTATATTTGAACTGATGAACAAAGCGTCAAAATATTTGCAACCCTCACAATATATATATATATAAGATCCTGAGCAAATCTGAACTTGTAATTTCACAATTATAAGTTTGAAATGGCCAACTCGTCTTGAGCAAGCGTGATGATTAATGCTCAAACCTCCTCCATCTGAGAAGAGATATTTGCTCAGCAGTGGGCTCTGATAGGCTGATGATTATATATAGTATTCACTTAGGAGTTGTGTATACTTACATTCGGCACAAAATGTCCCTTCATCACTACCGTCTCTACAATCCTTCAGCCCGTCACACATGTTACTGTACGGTATGCAGTAGGATTTATCCAAGCACGTGTAGTTCATTGACCTCACCTCACAGTTCAGGGTATCATGGAGATGCTTCGGACGAGGTGCGTGATCTGAAATAAAAGTTATTTTTTTGGAAACCAAATAAAAAAAGAAAAATGTTTGTTTTTTGCCGTAATGACGTCACAGAGTCAAACTTAGTGACCGATTTTGAAGCTGCCATATTCAAAGTTAAGATTTTAAAATCATATGTTGTATCTATATAATCTGGAGTTCAGAAAAAAACTCTTTGTAGTAATAATAATTGTTGGGACCATAAACTACGTATTAACAAATTTTGTAGTATTTTCATTGTTACTAAGTCTTATTGTTAACTATTTTTATAACAAAAATAAATCTGAATGATAAATAATTGTATTATCTTGATAATAGGTACAAAAAAAGTTAAATAAATTTCTTTATAACTATTAATATTCCATTTAGAGAAAAAGTCAAAAATACTGAAGTGTCTAAAACAAAATATAATATTTTTATCAAATCAATCCATTAGTGTAGCGATTTTGTATTTCACTTATATTATAAAAGAAACAGAAAGTTTCAAAATAAAGCCAAATCCCAGGGGAATATAGTATTAAATAAATAATTATAAGTATTAAAATATTTGAACAACTCACGACAAGTCTCCGTAACGTCTTCATCATTCTTATCAACACAGTCGTAGTAACCATCACACATCCAGAGTTCTGATATACACAGCTTACCGTCATCACATTGGAAACCTTTGCATGATGACTGAAGAAAAAACAAACAATATACTTCATTAAATAAATGAAAAAAAAAGCAATCATATTCGGTAATTACATTTTCCTTCTAAATCACTGAAATAAACATTAGATTTAAATCTTGTCTAGTAAATTCTAGGCCCTATAACCTATGAGTACATATTTTATTCAAATACAATAAAAAGATAATAAATATATGCAAGCAATCAAAACCTATTTCAGTTTTTAATAATGGCTATCATTCGTTCAGACGCTTTTTTGAAATTTGGTAATCCTGAACTAAATTTAATTATTTGTATTATGTTCATACATTATCATGCTGGATAATCTTTTCACAGCCTATTTCGTCGGAGCCATCTTTGCAATCGTTTTCATAGTTGCACACCCACGAGCTAGGAAGACACATCAACCCGTCCGTGCATAGAAACTGGTGGGTCTCGTTGCACAAGTGAGCATCTGGACGGTGATTGGCTGAAATTCATAATGACAGTTAACGATCTGGCTTGTAATTGGTCGAAACTATAACTGTCGTTTAAATTTTCCGCTTGCGATTGGCTGTTCATAAAATAGTCAGTAAAGCCTTAATGTGATTGGCTAACATTATAAAAGTCGGTTAGGAAAAAATATTTATTTTTTGTCAAATACATATTAATAAGAATTAATTAGTTAAATAATTTTGTCTCAAAGATTTGAAACGCAAATATTGAGTTTTATATTCTCTTATTCCAACAATTCAATTATTAAAGTGTCACATATTAGGGCTAAACACGTTATTTGAAGTGAATCTATTTTTTTATAAACTGAAGGTAGAACAACAAACACCGAAAAATCTAAAACGTGCGATTCTTATTAAAAAAAAAAATATATAATTTGAAATTCGAATTTATTAAAAAAGTGATTAATAATACAGATTAAAAAGAAATATAAACTTACCACAATAGTTCTCATCACCTCCATCCTCGCAATCGTTGTACCCATCACAATACTTCTCTGACGGTATACAGACACCTGATGTACAAGAAAATGAACCTTCCATGAGACATTCCGTCTCATAAGTCTGCAAGTCATCCTTAAACTGCGCGGAGCAGACTGCCAGCAACGAAAATAATAACAGGAGAACTGCCATTCTGTATTAAAAATAAATATATTAATACATTTCAAAATAATTTAGCTTATAAACTATTTAAAATGACATATTTCTATTGATCAAATGTTAAACATTTTACAAGTTTAATTAGTACCTAATAATGGGAATATTATATGGAATACTTCATAAATATGTTTTATTTTGCACGCTTTGAATATTCTTTGATGTACATTTGACCCCATAAGTTATTGAATCTAATCAAATTATTTTCACTAGGTGTGGTGAAGTAGAAATTACTACACAGCCACCGATCGTTAAAGATAACAATAAAAAATGTATAAAACAATTCTTACTAATTTTACTTACCTTTTAAATCAAATGTTTACTTAATTTTTCATTATTACTTTAAAAATTATTACTCAAATAATTAAACTACAAACGGTCGTCTCACGTGGCAGGCGAAGATGAAACGAGGCTTGGATAGAAAACGATAATTACATTTATTGTACTACCCTCAAAAGCGCTACATAAATTAAATACAAAATTGTTTAATATACCATTCAAATACACATATTTTTGTATGTTTTTGTATTTTAATCAATATAATGGTGAATGTTAATATTTATCAGATTATTCGTTTGTGTTGTTTAAGAAATCTGTTATAAAGTTAAAAAAATCTAAAGAAGGTATTGATTTATTTGATTGATTAGAAAAATAAATTATGTTATTATCATCAAATCTTTTTTTATAAACATAATATAACATAAAAATCACTTAATTTTTAATGTTAAATATACATAAATATTATATATTTTTGAACGGAAACGAAAGTCGGTCCTGTAATGCTGTCTAGCATTGACAGGTCAGAGTCCAACATTTTAGTTTCTACTGTAGGGTTTTGATTACATATTTAATATTTATTAAAATCTATTAAAGTTTATATAAGTTTTATTTTACATTTAACTGTTAAGCACAACTTTATTCGTAAAAATGGCATCGCAAGTCGCAAAGTCCCTAGTAAAAGCCGCTCGTCCCAATTCGACGGTGAAATTTAGTAAGTTATTTTTCACAGATTAATTATTACGACAACAAGTTTGTTTTTTAATAACATTAAAAACTATTATTTTTATTTATATTAATTCTTTTTCTTTAATAGTTGTTCAGGTTTTCTATAATCATGATGGGTGTAAAGTACTTCAGTATGTATTTTAAAAGTAAACTTTGGACTCCATCAATTGGCTAAGACACAATTATTTATGATTTATCTTAATGTTGGAACTTTCCAAGACACTCTTCATACTTTCAATCTTATAAGAGAAGTTTATTCTGAAAATGTACTGCATCAAATTGGGAAATATTTTTTGTAATACGTTAAGAATAGTTATTATAGCAATTATCATTTGCTAAATTTTAATTTAAAGTAATTTAATAATATATGCTACGAAAATTTTTAAATTAGCTTCATAGGTAGTGTGTCTTAAATTTAAAAATAATGGTTTATTACACAAGAACTAAACAAATAGATAATAAAAATCTGACGAATCTCTAAAAAAAAACCACTGACAAGAAATCCAGATACCTTATTAAATTTATAAATATTTATTTTAAATTATGTGGTTTTAGATATTTAATATAACTATATATTATAACTTATAATATTTGAATGTTTGTATAAATAAGGTCACCATTAACTTTATAAATGTTTATTATTATGTTACTAGTTTAAGTTTCCTATGTAAGTGAACTTTGTTCTTAATGAGAAATAAATCATCTCTAAACCTAATATACAATCTATTTTAAAACTTTACTATTTATAAGTTTTTACTTAAATATTAAAACCAGTTACAACTCTTCTTCTACCTGGCAATTTCCTAGCTATAGCCAGGGTCTGCCTTACATGTTGTGAATAGTTTTTGGCTATTTGTTTTTACGACCGGCCGCCTGCCTGACATCAACCCTCTTTAGGGAATCAACATTAATCAGTGATGTCTAAATACTCTTAGAAAGTACATATGATTCGGAAAAATCACATTGGTACTTGCCTGGGCCAGGATCGAACCCGCGCCCTCGGCGACGAGAGGCGGGCCCTTTAACCACTGAGCCACCACTGACTTAAACTTAAAACCACTTAGAACTATGAGGCCTCAATTATTTTTATGATTGAAACACTTACAAAACTCAATAAAAAATGAGTTTTTGATGTTATTTTACTTTAGATTATTGAATACTTGAATTATTTATATTATTTTAAATTACCAATTGTTTTCAGACACAGCCTGCCGAGCTCTGAGTGTAGGAGCAGCGTTACAGCAAAAAAAGAGTCTTCAGGACCGCACAGGCAAGAATGTTGTGCTCGTTGACGGTGTACGAACACCTTTCCTTGTCTCATTCACTGATTACGCCAAAATGATGCCTCACGAGCTAGCCCGACATTCACTATTGTAAGTTTGACCACAACTAAGTCCGATATGTTAAATAAATATAACAATCATAATTATGTCATACTTTAAATATTATTTGTATATCAGCTTAAACTTTGCTTATAATATTTACTGTAAGATAATATTTGAATATGCATAAAGCAATCAATAATATTTAACAAATTAAGTCATCTTTTAAGTTAGGCAATATTTTTGTATGTAACTGGACATTATTTTGCGTTTAATACGTCCATTTAAATGCAAATCAATTGATATTGTTATAAAACTGTTATGTAATTCAAATTCTTTTTAATTATATAATTGATCCAAAGAAAACAATATTGTGATAATTACTAATGTTTAATATATTTAGTGCATGCTATGATTACTTATAAAGGAAATACAATTATCAAGTGTGTTCAATTGTTAACTTTATAATATTTGTAATACTATTGTCATTTCTGTTGGTGATCCTATAAAATAAATAAATCTATAGTGTGGAAATAAAAAACTTTTTTCAGGGGTTTGCTTCAAAAGACCGGCATTCCCAAGGAGGTAGTTGACTATATTGTGTATGGTACAGTCATACAAGAGGTAAAGACGTCCAACATTGGTCGTGAGGCAGCCCTGGCCGCAGGGTTCAGTGACCGGACCCCGGCCCATACTGTCACCATGGCCTGTATATCATCAAACCAAGCCATCACCACTGGTGAGAACAAGATAATGACAATAGAAATATTATATTATTATTTGTATGACATATGTATAAATATTAGTGTAAATAATAACTGCCAAATCACAGGTTTAAATTGCACTAAAATCACTATCAGTTTGATGAAAGTATTTTGCTACTCCTCTCTTTTACATATATGAACCAATTTCTATATGCAAATAGAAATTGCTATGATATTTTTAGGACAGCTTTAATGCTCATCCCATATGGTACCTTAATAATTCTTAACATGTCTACTGCTGTGTATACAAGGCTCTTTCACATCAAAATACATCAACTTATCCTCTACAATCACCTTTACATTACTGACATTGAGAGTCCACCCAACTTCCGAAAATCATTCCAACACTTAAAGAAGACGATTTATCATTATTAGACAATCCTATTTATTTTATTCTATTTATTTTAGGCCTTTAAATGTCCTTTGACCTTTTAATGACCTTTATCAACATCAATAGGTATTGGCATGATAGCTGCCGGCGCTTATGACGTCATAGTGGCTGGCGGAGTAGAGTTCATGTCTGATGTACCTATCAGACACTCACGCAAGATGAGGTCGCTCTTACTGAGGCTGAACCGAGCTAAGACACCGGCTCAGAGACTATCGCTGCTGGCATCTATAAGACCTGACTTCTTTGCTCCCGAGGTGGGTTAATATAAAAGCATTTAGAGATTAACAATAGCTATATATGATAGAAAATTATATATTTACCAATGAGTTTCTCTGATAATTACCATATATTTGTATAATATGTATACAGGGTGTATGAAAAACTGTGTCAACCCTTGAAGGCATGTATACATATAAGTATAAGCTTATTATAAAAAATAGTATAACTTAAAAAATATCAAGCAGACGTCAGTTACAGTGCATAGGCAAATAAGTTTTAAATCGACATTATTCGAAGAAATGTTCCAAACATCTGACTCATACAAGGTCAAGACACCGTATAGTCGCAACGGCGCATGCGTGACCATTGACCGCGGGCGACGGGCCGCCGGCGTTTATTATTACTATTCTGTTAGTTGTTCGAATAGAGATTTGAAAGTGTAAAAATTAGTTATATCGATAAATATTCTATCGACATTTTCAATATTGCTATAAATAGTTATGATTTTCACATTAAAATAATTTCATTTAAAATAACTTTTATTAATAATAAATATTATAATTTGAAACTTGTTCAGGTAAATTAACTACATATGTTGTATTATTAGGATAAATCGTTAATCTATTTCTGTTAAAAATGGTTTTTTACAATCAAACATAATATTAATGTTTGATATATCAAAATAAGTATCGAAATAATATGAATATTAAATATTTATTTATTGTTATGATTTTTTAAATATCGATATTTTCAATAATGTGAAAGTAACTTCAAGGTCGTCACTAGTAGCGCAGCAGCTGTGATGACGTCATTGCGTGTCATCGTGTTATACCAGTTTTTACAAACATTTTGTTACTCTACATATAATAATCATTTAATATTTAATTTTATTATTTTTATTGAAGAGTTTGTAAATGTAAGTTGTTTTATTCTGTTACATTATCGATACTGATAACGTAGTTAAGAGGGTTGACACAGTTTTTCATACACCCTGTATATAAGGTGTAAAAAGGTAATAATAATTTATAATAATAATAATAATAATTTATTGTCTCCAAAAAAAAGCAATTACAAGGTATTTCAGTTAACAATAAGTTTCTTAAAGTATGCATCACGTAACAAAGCGGAATCATCTGTTGCTGAACTAGGTGAACCTGTGTCCCAGCGAACAGGGCCGACTCCCATTCATAAAAAAGGGCTATTCATAAAAATTTTGGTAGCCAAAAACTTAATTATAATATCTTATACTAACTTTATACAATTGCAATTGTTATTATTTTAATGACAAATTATGTGCCTTCCTTATTATATCTATTGTATTATAATGTGATATGCGTGTGTGTATGTGTTCATTATAGTATTTTGTTTCTGAGATACAATACCCTCTATGTACATATTATATTGAAATAATTTAAATCAGATGTATTTTCGATAGAAAGTTAATTTTAATGTAGGATGTTAAGTAGATTTTCCGTGTCTTCATACGAGAAATTTTGAAGGTAAGAAGTTATGCTTTGCTTACAGTTTACCTTATTCATACTGTATACATTTATAAATGTTATAACTTTATATTATAAAAGCTATAGCTTTGTTAATTTTATTATATAAATAAGGTCCAAGGAAGCTGTAGAATTTTTGTATAAATGCAGTATTAAGACGTTCTGGTAAGTTAACTGCGATATCTTTTCGTATCTTACTCAAAAACGTAGAATCGTACTTTAGTTCACTATGCTGCTTAAGTAATACGCTTAACACAAACAGCTGCCTCACAGTGAGTACATGTGTTTCTAGATACAATAAACTTGTTGGATAAAAATAGGGTTTAAACTTCATTACTTTTAATATTGTTCGTTTGTGTGTTTTTTTTTGCGTTTTTTAATGTATGAGATCACTTCTTTTTTTATTTGTTATAATTATACTGAGTTTTATTTCTTACTAATTCTTTTAAATATATTTAATTCAACTTAAACTGATATGCATTCTATTTAAACTTTAAAACTCAATGTAACAAGTGGTGTACTTTGCACATTTATGATATCACATTATAAAATTAACTTTTACAGCAAGGGGCTGTTCATAATACGTCAGATATTTAAGGGGGGACGGGTCTAGTCAAATCTCACCTAATCTTATATTAGAGAGGGGTCTCGGCAAATATCAAATAATTTTTTTCGGAATGAAACAAAAAAAAAATACTATAGTGGTCCTTTAATCCAGATTTTACATATATATAAGATTTAATCTTAAGAGTATGTTATCGTTAAAAAAACTATTTTATACTTTGACGTTATACATTTACTGACTATCAATTCACCATCCCCATGAAAAAGAAATCTCACGTGAGATTGGGGGATGGAGGGAGTCGGTTGAATAAAATCTCACGACATCTCACCAAGGCGGGAGGGAGTTACAGAAATTTCAAAAAACCACGTCACGTAATTTATGAACGCCCTCAATAGCTTCTTTTATGAATTTAATTAACATAAATATTTCTATATAATTTCCAGCTTCCAGCCGTAGCCGAGTTCTCATCGGGTGAGACCATGGGTCATAGTGCTGACCGTCTGGCAGCAGCCTTCGGTGCATCTAGAGAGGAACAAGATCAATACGCACTGAGATCACACACACTCGCACACCAGGCACAGCAGAACGGGTACTTCACGGATCTTATACCTGTTAAAGGTATTGAGACTTTAGTTCATATATAATATTATGTATAATTAGAAATAAGTATATTATATGTACATAGTAAAGTTATAAAGATTGCCTAAATATCTACTAAAATGTCACATATATGGATAATTGTAAATGTGTAAAAGTTGAAGATATGTATCATAAGTTATGACTTATTAACTCTGCTGTGTTTCTAAGTCTCATCAAAATCTGCCTAGCCGTTTCAAGTATTGGAAACAAACAGACAATACAAAAATGTAATTGTGTGAATATAAAAATCTCTCATGTCACATACATCTACATCCATCTCATAAACTATTTAAACACCAATATCCCAAACAAATTATTATAAGTTACTATATGAATTTAAATTAATTATCAGTTGATTTTCTTATCATTGTATATTATTTCAGTGGAAGGCAAGGACGGTGTTGTTGATAAGGACAATGGTATCCGAGTGTCCACTCCCGAGCAGCTGGCCAAGCTTCGTCCGGCCTTCATCAAGCCACACGGCAGCGTTACAGCTGCTAATGCATCCTTCTTGGTAAAATATTCTTATATATAGTGGATTAGAAATAAATTAATGGATGTCTTTGTCTTTTTATTATTAAAATTTACTTAATTGGATACCATGGCAGTACTGTTAAGGTAATTTTCTTATTATTAAATATCGTTATAAAATTTTTGATTTGATATAATTATAAACATTTGATCATCTATATTCATTGGTAAAAATGAACATTTTATAACTATAAGTATCATATGAATTAAATTTCCAGACCGACGGTGCATCTGCTTGTCTGGTGATGTCCGAGGCTAAAGCCAAGGAACTGGGGCTCAAGCCCAAGGCTTATCTGAGGGACTTCACTTATGTAGCTCAGGTAGAAAGATACACTTATAAACTAAATTAAGTAGAATCTTGAATATTTACTAGTGCAGTACACAATATAATGTCTATACTGTATGGTCATAAGTTGTTTGTTCCATTTCATAATACCTTCTTAAATACCTGTAGTATTCAAAGTTAAATGAAACTAATATTATTTGGATTACATACTATACTTGTATTTAATTATTAAAAAAAACTACATACTCCCGACTTTTCAGTTACCTACCATGTTTCAATTATCTTTTTTTATTATTTATACATATATGTAAATATATAATGTGTTATAAACTTAATTTCCTCTTAATACTCTAGGATCCAGTGGACCAACTCCTTCTTGGGCCAGCTTACGGCATCCCCAAGGTTCTGGACAAAGCCGGCCTTAAACTGAGTGATATTGATACTTGGGAAATTCATGAAGCTTTTGCTGTGAGTTATATAACATAACATTTGAATGTATCAAAATAATATCTGTACCAAAAATTCATATTATATACTACTACGAAGTGAAGATTTTATTACTATAATTGTATTGTAACATTTATTATAGGGACAAATTTTGGCCAACCTAAAGGCTTTGGACTCCGATTGGTTTGCTCAGAAATATCTCGGCCGTCAGTCTAAGGTAAATTAAAATAACAACTTTCATATAACATTGTAAGTAATAATTGTATCAACTATTTACTGATTCTCATATATTTTATAGGTCGGTTCTCCTGATTTGGATAAATGGAACAAGTGGGGCGGCTCTCTCTCCATTGGACATCCATTTGCTGCTACTGGGGTACCAATATATATTGATATTACAAAGATTAAGTTTCTAAGGATGTAAAGAAACATGTTGCTTTTTCATGCAGAAACTACTGAACGGTTTTTAATTAAATTTAGCAGTTGAATAATTTAGACATCAGAATAACTATAATTCAACTTGAAATCCCTGTCCATTTCGCATGGGAAAATCTTATAACATTTTCACTCAATCTGATCTCAATTTCAAAGTTATGTGGAAAAACTCATAAATAATGAATACCTTAATGCCTTTATTAAAATTTGTTTCTTACAACTTTATAAACGAAAGATATCTTTTTAGAGCTGAGTTATGAGATTTACACTTCTTAGATTTACTTTTATATGTGTGTACCATATGTACCAAAGTTATTTTATTTAATAATCCACATATCCTTTTTATGTTGAACCAGTGGCGGCTGGTGGTTTATCAAACCGGTGGTGCACTTTACTATAATATTAAAATTAGAAAATTTAACAAAACAACAATTGACATAAAATATGTTTATTTTTTATACATTAAATCAATGCGACGACATTTTTCTGAAGCGAAATATTCAATCACCTTTTTTATAAAAATCAGGTAATGTTTGTATATTTTTTTTTTCAATACTAAGAACAGAAAGTGCATTTATACTATTTGCGCTGTAGCTTGGTGCGGGTGACATTTGCCTATATGACGTTGATATCTGTCAGTACCATATGACTAGTGATGTTGCGTAATTCATTTTTATCACTAACGATACTCGCAGTATAAATAATATAGTACTTATATAAAATAATTAAAATCGGGTTTATGATTTTTTTTCGTAACAACATTTTTGCTCAATTTCAGCAGATGATGAATTTTGTGACAATTCAGATGTTCCTGGTTCTGATATGAGTTTAGACGAATGAAATCATTTTTATATAAGATCTGTTTTTTCATTAATAAAATTATACACTTTACAATAATAATTGAACTACAGCCAATATATGTATATTATTTTATTATAAAAAAAACATCGACTATCCATTGTAGCAGTACATCCCATCACTAAATACGTCTATGGCATTACGTTAAACGCATAATACTTTGCTTAATTTTTCTTTCCATTAGATTATATTTGTACACTAGAACATGCTGGTTTGGTTTAATTTAAACTACTTCAGTAATTAATGATTTAATTTATTACGATTGTGGTACAGGTGAAATACTAAGTCATAATTTGTAAATCGCGGCAACTTTCAAGAGTGAAACGAAACGATACTGAAACTGTCACCCGCACCATGCTACAGCGCAAATAGTATAGCAAGAGCATGGTATTTAGGAGAAAAGTTTTAATTCTTTTCAATTCCAATTCGTCATACATCGGGTGCTCTCGGTAATCTTCGGCCGCTCGTGCGGCGCTCGAGAACCGACTCATTACTCGGTACATTTCTATGAACTATCTTTTGTTTCACGCGTCAGGCGTATTAATGCGTATCTCATACAAGATGTATTAGCCGTCCTTGTGCACTCGACGCGCACGATATGAGTTTAGTACAGCGCTCAAACTTTTTGACCATAATTGGAAATTTATTATTTATGGGTTTTTGTATGTTTAAAAAATAAATATTAAAATGGTAATTTAAAAATAAAGATGAAGTACATAATATTTTGTAATTTTTAAATCTTTTGAATTGGTGGTTCAAGCGCACGAGTGAACTTAAGGTACAGCCGCCACTGTGTTCAACATATACAGCGTGACTGGTGAATTACTATCGATACTTGAGGACGTGATATTTGACGATCATATATGACAAAATAAAAATTAATATAACATAAATATTAATAATCTTCTAAGTAAAGTTAACCAAAAGTTATGTAATTAATTACGCATCGTGTGAACACCCTACAGATTAGGTATACACACACACACACACACACACACGCGTGCGGCGGCGTGGTGTTGTATCAGCACGCCGCCGCACGCGTCCACACTTGGAACGTGTCGACACTTTATTTATTCAAGTTTATTTTAAGGAGAATACTCGGTACATGATTCTCATTCGAATTATGTAAAAAAAATAGGTACTTAATTTTTGACCAAATTTCCGTGTAAATAAATAAAGTGTAGACACGTTCCAAGTGTGGACGCGTGCTGATACAACACCACGCCGCCGCACGCGTCCACACTTGGAACACTTAGAACGTGTTCGCACTTTATTTATTTATACGGAAATTTGGTCAAAAATCAACTACCTATTTTTTTTACATAATTCGAATGAGAATCATGTACCGAGTATTCTCCTTAAATATTGATAGTAATTCACCAGTCACCCTGCATAATATACCGGCCCATCTTTACAAACCTAATTTATCAATGATATAAGTGTATATTAAACATAAGTCTTCATTCCCAAAGAGGGTTGATGTCAGGCAGGCGTCCGGTCGTAAAAACAAATAGCCAAAACTATTCACAACATGCAAGGCATACCCTGGCTATAGCTTGGAGATTGCCAGGTAGAAGAAGATTAATTATAAGTATACCTCCCTCCCCAGGTTCGTCTCGCGATGCACACGGCCCACCGCCTGGTCCGTGAAGACGGTCAGTTCGGTCTCATTAGCGCGTGCGCAGCGGGCGGGCAAGGAGTCGCCATGCTGCTCGAGAGACACCCGGACGCTAAACATGACTAAACAAACACACACAGACAGACAAATATTACAACTATACTTTATATATACCTATTATGATACGTGGATACAGATACTGTGCCTGCCGTTTTCATTCATATGATCAGCTCTACACTTATATACCTGTCTGATACAAATAATTTCTTTTTTATTATCATTAATTTGATTTAAGTTGTGAGTTTTGTTATATTATATAATCGGTAGTCAGTTTTCTTTGTAAAATGTATGAAAGTAATTTATACTCAGACATAAGTTATAATTTTTTGAGACATCCATCCAGTTGAATAGATCCCAATTAAATATATAGGCTTTTTGTTTCAATTAAAATGTTTTTTTTTTTATAATAGAGATTCAGTTTTAGTCAATTATTCTCTTTTATATCTGTGTCAAGTTAAAAATATAGAACAAGTGCCTTCAAATTAGAATAAGATCAACATCTCATTTAATGGAAATTTGTAATCAATCCCATTAGTTAAGATTATACACCTCATGTTATATTATAGAAGTCGAAGAAATAAATATGATGTTTAAATGTTATTTTATTAACTCCACTATTAATTAAATTTACTTATTAAATATAAACAAGGAAAAAATACATTTTTAAAGTCCTTTGGAAGTGATAATACAATAATGTTCGTTGTATTTAAGATATTAAATGCCTTAAGATCTGTGACAAATTGTATATTATGTGCTATTAATATTTGTATTATAACAATTATTATGATGAAGAAATGCCAAAAAATAGTTACAATATTTTACAGACATTATATAGATTAAGAATGAGATAATATCTTCAATTTGTTTAGATTTTATTAAATTATACACTTATTTAAAATTATTTCTTTTTAGCGCTTTTAGAACATACCATCAAATTTATATAATAAAAAAAAACTACCAATGGTAATGTAATAATTTGAACAGACTATTTTTACAGTCAGTCCAAAACCATGTAAATGAAATTAGTAATTATTTAATACATTTGAAATTATTCTTTATCAGTAGAAAGGTTGTTTCAATATAATAAAACAATGCTGTAAGGGCAACTATTTATTGGTCGCCTATATTGCTATCAAATATGTATATTATACTAAACGCGAGACGCCTCATGTTATAACTAAGATAAAAATACAAGCATCTTTTAAAAGGAGATTACAAACGACCTACCGCATGACATCTGAAGCTTTGCTTTCAAACAGAAATATCGAATGTATTCAAAAATAATTTAAAAAAATAATAATAATATTCTAAAACTTAATGTCACATTATATATTCTTTTCATTAGTCATTTATACTTCCATTGTGGGTCATCTCGAAATATCTCCATTAAAAACTATGAAATGTGGTATTTATATATATAGGGAGTGCTAAAACTATTCGTTTTGTAAATCACATATGTCTAAGTGTTAGAAAGAAATTAAATCCAGTGATATAAGAAAAATATTTGATAATAAAACATGATAACTTTGAAGATGTTAACTATATTACAATATCACGGTCTGGTGTTACAACCGTTTAACACGAAATGTACTTAAACAAATTATTAAGATATATTATTGAATGAGATACAAAATAATTTTACTATGATGAATAGTTAACAAATTAGATAGTATCTTTAGTTCCTATGTCGTATTATCAGTCCCCATGAACATATTGTTACGGCGTGGCGTTGGTTTTGATATAACACTCCGTCTAGTAGAAAAATAATTAAAATATATATCTTTTACATTCCCATTTAAATCATTATACGTCACACAAAACGAACGTCACGCCGTAGACGGTATTAAAACAAACTATACTCTATAGTACAGGCACTGACGTCTACATTATATATACAGACTTATAATATAACTAATATTATTATATATTCCATTGTCACAAGACGCCCAGAATTATGAGACCTCCCGTACAGTGAGCGACACGCGGTCTATAATATATAATATACACAGACCGAAGATAATTAGTTGTTTCGGATTCCATACTACAGATATTTGTACAAGAACCTCTATGGATATATAACACGAGTTTGAGTGTCGCCCTGTATGTGTATACATGTAATGTACACAGCTGTGTGGTCGGGTGTACGTTGTGCTATTGGAAGTCAGCCAGCGACTGTCTCCATGTGGCGTGGAAGGGGATTCGGAGCAACTTGAGCTTGGTCCGCGGCAACTGAGCTGCTAACAACCGCTGGAGGGTCGGGATGGGGAGGATTTCAACCTGGAAATCATACACATATTTTAATATTACTATATAAACATATATTATGTAACAGTTGCTTCTACATTACGGCTTCCACGTGACAGTCTTGAGCTTTTTCTATTTTTATTCGCACATCGGAGAACTTTATGAGACTATAATTAGTACAAAAACAAACTATAGTAATCAAATGATATTATATATTCAAAGTAGCTGAAGAGTCAATACAGTGTTAATATAACGATTCACGAGACCCTACTTCCGAATACATAAATATCGTGATAACATAGTACGCGTAGTATATCCGAAAAATAGTAGTTTCATTTATATGAATAAAACTAACAAGTCTTAGATCATAACATTAGTTAGTATACAAGATCTGTAGTAGTGAACATCCTTACTAATATTATAAATGTGAAAGTAATCATGTCTGTCTGCCTGTTAAGCTTTCACGCCTAAACCACTAAACTGATTTTAATGAAATTTGTTACAGACAGAGTAGACCTTGAGAAAGGACATAAGATAGTTTTTATCCCAGACTTTTGAAAGGTTCTCTTGCAAACGCGATATAACCGAACTCCACGCGGACGGAAAACTAGTATTATATAGGGTGATTGGTGAATTACTATCAACCTGTATACCTAATCTGTAGGGCGTTCACACGATGCGTAATTAATTACATAACTTTTGGTTAACTTTACTTAGAAGTTTATTAATATTTATGTTATATTAATTTTTATTTTGTCATATATGATCGTCAAATATCACGTCCTCAAGTATCGATAGTAATTCACCAGTCACCCTGTATAAGTACGACCTGAATATATGATCATTAATTAGTATTCAATATCTCTAGTAGTATATATATATATATATATATATATATCGACCTGCGGCGGTCCAGCCACGGTCCGATGGTCGTCGGGCAGCCGACAGCCGGGCACGGGTTTCAGCACGGGTATACACTCGCCCACGTCGCGACGCTTGGCGTCCCCGTCGCCCGCCTCGCACTGGTCTATGAACAGCTCGGTCACTCGCAGCAGCTCGATGGTCACGCCCCACATGAGGTGCGTTAAGGTCTCCTTCAGTCGGAGCACGCCGCTTAACACCTGGACCATTCATATGTACTATGTACTACGACTATCACATGTATAGAAATGTTTTGTGCATGTAGTAGATAACCGAGCAAAAACGGGGATGATCTCGGCGACCGAATAATGATTTAGTCGAGTTTTTACTAATATAGAATTTAAAACATCCTCTTAATTTAAATTTATGTTGGAGCTGGACAATTTAACTCATATATAAAAACAGTTCGGTACCGAAACGCTGAACTGAAGCGTCATTCAACTTGTACCTAGCAACGAATGCAAAGTCGTTTCTTTTAGTTTAATGTATGGAAAAATTAAATATTTAGAATCTGAACGAATAAAACAAGGAGGAATTAGAGCCAAATTCTGTGGCGTTGTATAAGATACATAATATTTGAAAATATTTTATTTGCCATATGCCACGAAACAGGTATATATCTGTTATCTGTGTAACGTCTTCTACTCATTCTATACCCCCACCTGTTTGTTAGTGGTAGCCGACTGCGACACGTATGTCGGTATGATGAGCAGTCTCTGTATGTTTTTACACTCCGCGAGCGCATCGTCGAAGCCGACCTGCAAGATTTAAAGTACATAAATTAAAATAATATTGAGACCACATTCTTTAGACATATATTTTTATATCGATAATTACCTTAACATCGAAATTAACTAACTCCAGCCGCGTCAGTTTGGGCAGCGCTGCCAGAGCTCTTAGTAATGCTGGCGCAGCGCAATGTGCTACGCCTCTTTCCAGCCTTAATTTCCTCAATTTAACCAGTTTACCGAGAGCCGTGGCGAAAGATCCGCCGAAGGAACATTCTCCAAGTTCCAAAGACTCTAATTGTTCTAGCTGACCGACAACTTCGCAAGCATACCAGCCTAGCTCCTTTATAGATGTCAGCGATAAGTGTTGGAGACGAGACAGACCGGCTAGGGGACGAAGGTCGCGCGTCAACGATAGACCTGTAAGGCTCTGGAAATATAACGAATATTATAATTGCGAAAGTTTGTGAGTGCGTGTGTTAGTTTGTTACTTTTTGTATACAGCAAGCTCACGTCCAGGAATAACACATAGGCTACTTTACATCCCGGAAATCCGGAAATACCGCGGGGTGCAGCTAGTTATCTATATTGTTCATAGAACTAGATCCACAAATGGTCAATGATGGAAAAATTAATATCCCGATATTTACTAAGCGATCCTAGATTATGTATTACGTATATCCCAACAATTGTTGGAAGTTGTCAGACAAAACTTTCAAATACTTGTATTGAACAGAATCAAACTCAGAATTCCACATATATTTTGATATTTCAGTTAATTTGTGCTACATATCGTCGGGATAATGCAAATCCGCGTAACTATCATTGGTTAATTCCACTTATCTACATTGGAAGCAGATTATCAGAAGAAAGTTTAAACTAACATATTCTCTAAATTAATGACTTTTAAGGCAATTTTTCACAATTAGTAATTATTTAGTGTTTAATTTGTTATCCACCATCCCTACTAATATTATAAATGAGAAAGTAACTCTGTCTGTCTGTCTGTTACGCTCTCACGCCTAAACTCAACTGATTTTAATGAAATTTGGTACAGACAGAGTTGACCTTGAGAAAGAACATAGGATAGTTTTTATCCCAGACTTTTGAAAGGTTCTCTTGGAAACCCGATATAACCGAACACCACGTGGCCGAAGCTGCGGGCGGAAAGCTAGTATTATATATGTATGTATGTCCGTGTAGTCTACCTTAAGTCTGAGTAGCTCCAGTCTCGTGAGTCTGGCTAAAGGCGCGGGGTCAAGTCGAGCGTCCCTTATAGCAGGCGCGGACAAGGCGCGGAGCCCTGGGACTCGCTCACACGACGCCTCCACCGCACGGGCCGGGCAGCGACATAGCTCTAGTCTATATACAATAAAGTATTAAATAAGTATGAATATTAATAAATATACAAGTTATTTAGTATTTCTATCTGATTTAATTTGTTCATTTAGTATATCAAAAATGATGGCAATGATAAGATTAAATTGAATTATCAGCCTATCAGAGCCCACTGCATAGTAAATGCGTCTTCTCACATGGAGAAGATTGAAATTAAATTGAATATATATTAGAATATATCGGCGCAAACTACAAGTCATCGTTCGATTACGTCATCCTTTATTGAACACGCGTTCCAACTCGACGTCGTTCCCCTCCTATTGTCAGCACTCGAACTAGACTAATCTCTGTTGATATTTTGTTGATTCTGTGTGCGAATTTACTTAACTAGTTATTTAATTGTGTAATAAATCAGTGTGTGAAGTGACTGTAATATATCAGTGTATAAAGTGTGTCAAGTGACGTAATATATCAGTGTGTAAAGTGTGTCAAGTGACGTAATATATCAGTGTGTGAAGTGTTAAAGTGAATAAATAATAATGAATCCACAAGATGGTATTATTGAAGAAAGCACCCCTCCTCTTACAAATATACATATTTTATATATTACATTTGATGAGAACATTACCATTCAAATCTATTAGAGTTCTTTTCCAGTCTTATCTATTCAAAACTCAAATGTTACCAAAATTAGTTAAGTTACTAGTCTTTACTTCAGTAGTATAGTAGTATCTCTATCAGTAGTAGTGTTTATCGTATATACCTCTCGAGAGTATCCACGGTGCCAATGTGTTCAGCGAACTGATCCCAGAACAGCGCGTCGTTGGTCGGTAGTAACATCTTGCGCAGGTCGAGCCAGCGGGTGCCGTGACGACGCAGAGCCGCGCACAGACCCGCCCAGTCACTCACCTAGAATACATATAATACATTCTACTTAGTTACAAGTTACTATTTTTTATTATTATAGTTATTACTTAGTATATACTATATACGGCACGTTTAAAGTTTGTCATAGATACTGGATACACCCATGTCGTTACTATGTGGATCATGTATACAGTATACTGCTATATATAAGTTCTGTTTTAACTTTCACACGATATATCATTTTAACTTAGTCATCATAGGTATGCTTGAATATGACGCTACTCTTGTTAATTTGTGTACCTCATAGATAAATACTCTTAGAAAGTGCATATGAATCGGAAAAATCACATTGATACTCGCTAGGGCCAGGATCGAACCTGCGCCCTCGTGCATGAGGTGGGTCTTTTAACCACTAGGCCACCGCAGACTTATATTAGGATATGGACCAATAAGGAGTAACCAATAATAAGAGTATTTAAAAGAGTGAATTAATTTGCATGTTTCCTATCGTCATCAGCCTATCAGAAGCCAACTGCTGAGCAAGACCTCTTTCTCACATGGAGAAGGTTCTCACTTCTACTTAATATGTATTCCTTTTCCGTAAGTAAGATAACAATGTGACGTTTGTTGATTTTTAAAACTATTGTGTTTGTTTTTTTTTATTTGTGGCAGCTTCATTGGTGTATGTTTTTGTAATTTTTATTCATAATTTAAGTGTATTGTAAATTGTTTGTGCCTTAATAAAGCAAAATAAAATATTTATATATATACTAACGTGTGAGTTCTTCATCCTCACATGTCTCCACAGAGCGGGCGTCGCGGCCAGTTCCGCCCACAGCGAGCACGTGCGGGCGGCGCGCGCTACATCACGCATGCCTAAGTACTGGAAGATCTGGAAACAACATATATACGATTATATGCTATATTACATAGTATAGTGTTTCTATATATATAATTAATTGAAAAACTATTAGTCAATAAACAAGTGTTTAAACAAAATTTTACAAGCATAATTTAGATTACACTCTCTAGATATATTTATTGCAATATTATTAAAAACTTTAGCAATCAATGCTATCATATTTTACCTATATGAAGCGACCATAGTTTCCTATAACATTAAATAATAATAGATTATCCTAACATAAACAAAAAATAAAAAACTTTACAACATATTTGTATTACAAAACAATATATGGGAGTTATTTCATATAAATATGACTTGTATTTGTAGATGAATGTTTTTAAATAGTTTAAAATGACTTAAATCTTGATATTTATAATATTAACTACTGTATAATAACTCACCTGTACGGCTACATTATAGTTGTTCGCCTTAGCCTTTTCTATGAAGGGTGTGAAATAGTCTGTATCATCTTTCTTGACCCTTCTTCTAAGTGCAGGCGAGGGCGCAGCCGGCGGGGGCGAAGCCCCATTCGACACACCACGACGTACTTTGATATCACTGTAATATAACAAAACATTATTTTATTATCAATAAAATCACATTAAAACTATACACAGAGAATTAATTGTATGTAATAAAATCATTATCTTTGTGCATAGTTGTATTCTATTGCTTTTATTTTGTTTTTCATTTAATTATTGATCATTGAGTGGTTCACGACTTTACTCGTTAGTATAAAGATATGTAACTCACCTTATATTAAATATACTTACCAGGGAACCTTTAGAGCGGCTTTTAAATGAATTAAAACAATATACGCGGATTTATTGTACATTTTATATCTTAATAATATATATGTGAACGAAGGTACAGAAAAAACTAATGTTATGTATTATATGACAATTTGTTACAAAGTTTTTTATACTAACAAAAGTCCATTAGAACTGACGTTAAAAGATCCATTTAAATTATGGCCAGAACCTATACTTATGTATCTTTAAAACATGCTAAAAATAAAAAATCCTATTCATACAATCACATTTTAAATTTCATTTTATTTTAAAATTTTAAAAACAATATCTGCAACACTGTTTGAATACAAAAACAAATATTCTCCTTAAAAATAAACTACAATATATATAAATTGATCTTATTGAAGTGTTGAGGAGTTATCTGAAAAAAAATTAAATATGATGTAGATTAAGTTGTAATAAAATAATTAATATTTCAGTGAAAATACAATTATCATAAATGATATACCGATATACCAATAGCGTTGGTATATATCCTATACCAACGCCTAAAATTCATCTTCTAGTATAGTACAGTATAAGTTATAAACAGACAGACTCGACATTTCCCTATATGTATTGATTATTATAATTAAAACAATAAAAATATTTATATTAAATTTGTTCATCAACTTCACATTATTTAAGTAGTCCTATATATACTCTGGTATAAAAGCCAAACCTTCTACTGAGGCACAGCTCGAGCTACTACTATGAACCGTCTGCCGTTAAGAACTACCAACGACTGTGGTAACGTAGGGCGACAAGATGTGGTGGGGGGATTGGATGGTGGGGGTGTGGGCGTGATTTGGGGCGGGGCGGGAGGCGGGGCAGGAGGAGGAGCTCCAGGCTTAGACACGGACCACACGCGCTCGCCGTCGGGACCGCCGGCCGCCACCTGAAAAATTAAGGATAATATTACATAATATATAACACAAATACCATGTACCAACAAAGCTAGGTTTCATAGGTGGTAGAGCCTAGCTGTGGTTAAGTTACTACAGCTCGAACATGGGCTGGCTCGACCGGGGAAGTACCACCCTCTCACAGAGGATCGGCGTGAAGTAGTCAGTAATTACTGCGTTTCGACCGATGAGTGAGAGAGCCGGTTGCCCTTTCCCTTTTCCTAACCTTTCCTTGTATTTCCTTATTCCCACCCTTCCCTATCCCTAAAAAAAAAAGGTTGGCAACGCATCCGCAACATATTTGTTGCGGATGTCCATGGGCGACGGTAACCACCTTCCATCAAGTGGGCCGTCTGTTCGTTTGCCACCTATAACATAAAAAAAAAAAAAAGCTGTGGACTGTTATGAAATTGTTACGTAAACGCAACATGTTAGAAATTAAATGAATACGCCGGGATAACACTGCTGTATGGATAAAATGTCATATAACGAGAAGTTTCGTAGTTTTCCTAGTACTTCCGGTTTCCATCTTATATGATGAAATTCTTTCTACTAATTCCTAAATTGATACCAAACCTTCCGTGGACGCTTCCTTCATTGCAAACTGTATTAATAATCATTTAAATTAAAAACAATTTGCCATATGAAATGACATGACAGGGTTAATTTATATTGCTAAAGGTAAAACAGACCTTCATTCTCAAGAGCACTCGCTTGTCATTTCTCGATTTCGGAACCGGTACTGGGACGGGAACCGGAAGGCGTCTAGCGTTGGACGAGCACGGAGCCCCGGGACCAGCCCCGGCCGGAAGTGACGTCACACCAGACTTGTGAGTAAGGGGCGGAGGTTCCAGCGGTGGGGATGAAGTCTTACGACAATTCTGGAAATGTTATATAACAGGGACTGTTTAAGATATGCTTGGAATTACTTATAATTATGACAAGTACCTACTATATCATGTATCTATATACATATATGTAAGACTGTTAATTTTAAAATTATTATAACTAGTGATTACATTTCTTAGTTGACTTATATTAGTAGCAGATATCGTTATTACTGATTGTTTTTAATTTAATTATTCATCTGTATAAGACATTGACAAGGCATACCCTGGCTGAAGCTGGGTAAATTGCCAGGTAGAAGAAGAGTTATTGACAAATATAATTAGTGTGACCCACCTTACACAAGAACGTGTCTTGCGGCATACGAAGCCCTACACATGCAGGGTGATACAGACAAAGACAGGCTTCACACGCTAGTGAAGGCACGCCCGACCCACACGTCATGGAACACGGCTGCTGGCTTTGACGATTCTGGAGAACAGATATATACTAATATTATAAATGTGAAAGTAACTCTGTCTGTCTGTTACACTTTCACGCCTAAACCACTGAACTGATTTTAATGAAATTTGGTAGAGATAGAGTTGACCTTAAGGAAGAACATAGGATAGTTTTTATTCAAGACTTTTGAAAGGTTCTCTTGGAAACGAGATATAACCGAAATCTATGCGGGCGAAGCTGCGGTCGGAAAGCTAGTATATACAGGGTGACTGGTGAATTACTATCGATACTTGAGGACGTGATATTTGACGATCATATATGACAAAATAAAAATTAATAAACATAAATATTAATAAACTTCTAAGTAAAGTTAACCAAAAGTTATGTAATTAATTACGCATCGTGTGCACACCCTACAGATTAGGTATACACACACACACACACACGCGTGGGCGGCGTGGTGTTGTAGTGGAACACTTGGAACGTGTCCACACTTTATTTATTTATACGGAAATTTGGTCAAAAATTAAGTACCGTTTTTTTTACATAATTCGAATGAGAATCATGTACCGAGTATTCTCCTTAAATATTGATAGTAATTCACCAGTCACCCTGTATATTTGTATTATGAGTCAAATTTTATTTCATTCAATTCCAGAATGCAAAATAATATATGTATTGAATAAGTAGTGAGATGATAATGATTAATCAAGAGTTATAATATTATTAAAATTTACATATGTAAGTGAATATTTGGATATATTTAACGTTCAACAGTAAGGAAATGCTTATATAGGTTACAATATTGATAACAATCAACTATGTTAGACAGTTCATTAACAAAAAAAGCCACACATTAATATCTTTCAACATACCTGATGGTGTAAGGGCGGCGGGGCGTCTCTGTCCGGTGTGAGTTGCGGCCGTGGCGCGGATATTTGAAGCGGTGTGTGTGTCGGCGCGGGGGCGGGGTGTATCGGCTGTATGTGCTGTGCTGGCTGCACAGACTGCACAGGCTGCACAGACTGTGTGTTCTGTGCTAGCGGCGCGGGTTGCGCAGTCCCTGGCTGCCCTGCCACCGTCCGCGGCTGCACCCTGTGACGCAGACTGTTACCTGCGCACAGCGCTCAGTACCCGCGACAAGGGCTCATTGTGTTATCAATCAGCCCTTCATTGTATGTCATTGTATAATTTTAAATAATTTGTTATAAATTATTTAAATTTCCAATCGTATAATGTCGTGAACCACTCACATGTGTTAAATGAGTATCAAATGAGATTAATATAATTTGATAGTCATTTAAGCTATTTAATACTATAGTATGAGACATAACAGACCTAGGTTTCTTCCAGGCAGCCATGTTGTTGTTATCAAGTGTGACTGGTGGCTGTGTGTTCTTCTTCACTTGTTTCGTTGGAGCTCCGTTGCTACTCAGCCTCGAACCCATTGACTTCACCTGCGACACCTATACATGAGTGACTTAGATACAACATGTATAATGGATTATATAGATAGACAGATTTTGAAAAAGGGGAGGAGGGTTAAGAAATATAGAAAAATATAAGAACGTTTTGTAGTTCTGGAGTGATTTGTAGTTACTTTTAGATAGGATAAGTTAGTTGTTTTATATAATAGGAGAAAATAGGGTAATTAAATATAATTTCTTCTCAAAGTGGACAGTAGATAAAACAAGTTTGGGAGCCGCTGATTTAGAACATAGACATCAAATTAGTCAATTATTTTAATACTATGTGTCAATACACAAGTCTACCTTCAATTTCCCCGGAGGTGACTTCATGCCGGGCTCGGGGCTTGATCCTTTGGGAGGTTTGGGCTTTGGAGTTCTCTTGGATTCTAAGGTAGGAGTGACGGCTGGTACTGGAGACTCAACACGACGCTGGATCTTCGCATCCCTTCAATATTATAAATACACAAAAATATATATACAGAACTTAATACAAAATTTAAACGGTTATCTACTATTGTTTATAAGTACATATGTTATATACAAATGAGTGATATCACACCTTATAATTTCTTTTTCAGGATCATCAATCCCGAGCGGTTCTTTGAAGAAGGAGAAGTTTTCTAATGTCAATCCTGTTCCAGATAAATGTTCAGACACCTGCAATAATAAAACAATAATAAAATACCGTGATTTACATACATATATTTTTTTAATGTTATTTATTACACTTTATTCTCTAAAAAAACATAGGTATTTCTTCGTTAAATATACTAATTCTTTTCAAATATGATAAAAATAACATTTAATTGTTCTTAAATACCATGATAAGTATATGATATTTTTTGAAATAATATTAATATCGAAGTATAATTCAACTTAATCATATAAATGAAAAATAATTATTCACTAATTATTAGTGTTTAGTATGACTACCTCTCTAGTAGACCGTAGTTTCTTCCCGGTAGGTGTATAGTAGTATATATCAGCGTTTCGTCTAGGGTTATCGCTGGAGGCCCCCGCTGCTCGGTACACTAGTTCCCTCTTCCAACCCTTCTCAAGAGGAACTCTTAGTAATGGGGAGGACATTTCAGTTGTAGCTCTACGACCGATGCGACCCGCTGGTGATGATGATGCCTTGGAAATATAATATTATTATTTATTAGTAAGAAAAATATTATTATAAATGTATTGTTTATATATTTTGAACTTGTAAAATACTTTCGCGATATGAGAAATGACATAATATTGTGTAATAAATCAGAAGCTGCTCAACATGGTTAAAGTAAAAACCAGACTTTATGTACTGTGTAGTGAAATTTATATGTTTAACACCATGTAATGAACAAAGTTTCAATAATTCTCTATTATACATAACATTATAAACTAACATTATATTTATATAAATAATCAAAAATTAATTATATAAATGATTTTATCTTACATCAGTTGACACACCGCCATCACCGTCTGATCTCGATGACAAAGCCGACGAGGGTCTTGATCCTTCTGTAAATACATTCATCAATTAATCAAACATCATTAATTTACTCATTAATCACTATTATATTCTTGATATTCATACTAACCAGTCCGTTTTCTCAACTTGGAGTCATCATCGGTAGAGAAGCTCCTCACTACTTCAGAAACTTCAGCCTCGAGATGTTCCGACCACTTGGCAGAGCCACCTGAATCGTTTCTTTTATGAAGTGTTGCCATCACACGTCGGACAGGAGTATATGTCTTAGCCGCTGCTAACACTTCAGCTTCGAGCCGTTCTGGAATAAAAATGTACATATAAGCACATACTTATGTCATATTTTCAGTTAAATATTAGTAAGAACTTTATAATACTCTAAAAACACATTCTCAATAACAGAATAGAAAATATTGATAATCATCAATCTTCAACAATAAAAAGTTATAATAATAGTAAATAAGACTATGAGACCATAAAATATGTATTGAAAATTCATTTTCTACACATATGCTTACCTAAAACCTGACAGTAGCCTGTCAGATTGTTATGCTCTATAAGGTCAAAACCTTTGAAACCATCGCTATCACTCGAGGTTCTCGGTTTAACTCGTCTCCCATCCACTGATAGCATGAAATTATCAGAAATGCAACAAATCCTTTATATAAATTTTAAACTTCCTAGTGTACATTAACATTAATAAAATATTCAATATTTTGGATAGATTGCATTATTTCATTATAATGTAAAATATAATTATGCTAATGTCTGAAAATATGTGTAATATTTAAAGGTTTCAAATTGATATGTATATTATACTACATATATATAATATATACAATAGTATATATGTATATAGTATGAACTTACCAACAATTCTGCCATAATCCTCCAAGCCGCTCGGTTCACACTGATCAAATCCTTTAAACTCTTCTCCATCGTCACTGAATGCCGTCGAGCGTCTTCGCTTCACACCCCTAGCTTCATCATTTTCATCATGAGTCTCTTGGTCTATTTCCTCCATTTTGTCTTGAATTTCTTTAAATTCATCAATTTGATTTTCTTCACTCTCCATTTCTGCTTGCAATTCCGAGTCATCGGCATTCTCTGATAAGAAAATTATCATCAATTTATGGTAATTAGTATAAGAATAATTAAATTTTTAGAGTAAAATTTGCATACGTATTTTATAATGGTCATGCTTTATCATTATAACATATTAATGATGTAGAAATTGCCTTTAAATTCAGGATGTCACTAACATTTCAAAAACAGATGCATTCTGATTTATATATATAGTTTGTAATACAAATTGGCAGACCCTGGCTAAAGCTGAGAAATTGCCAGTAAGAAGAAGAGTTTGTAATACAAATTATTTTATTAGCTTAGCAACATCTACTATTCGTTATGATTTAAATAACTTTGATATTGATATAAGAATACTCATCGTTTTTAATTGTTGATATCAGATAGAATGAATTTGAGCTTAAAGTTTAATGTTTTATTTCTTATTTAGCTACTATCAAAGGTAAGTTTTCTAAGACTTATTATACAGCATGTAAAATTCTTTGAAACACATACGATATCACAAAGAGGAAGTGTTCTTAAAGTTTATTGCTTATGAAATATCAAAGTTTGTGTTCATAAATGTATAAACTCGCCTTTGCACTACACGATCGACTACACTATCAAGACAACACCACTAAACAACTATTGTATTGAAACAATTAGATATAAAGAACAAGTGTACTAATGATACAGAAAATTAACAATAATTAGAGCAAATCTAATAAATACGAGTTGGCGTGAAATATACTCTTTATAATTTGATAGGTTAGCGAGGAGGAACAAGTTGAAGTACAAAAAAATAATTGAACGTGAAAATCCACTGTATGTCAACATTCAGATAAGAGGTTATGTGAAAGTCATCTCACCATTTATTTCTGGTTTAATTTCTGTTTCAGCAGTTGTTAACACAGCTGGAACTTCTGTAGCGTCAGCAGAATCCATTCCCTCCGAACCAACATCTTCGCTGGCGACTTTATGCTCCTCATTTGATGCGTTATCACCCACCGCCATTTCCTCCGACATTGTCAAATCTAAATATACTACTTAGATCCACTGTCAGAACGTAAATAACCACATAACAATCTGTTACGACACTTCACTATTATACCAGGCAAATTATCTGAATTTATGCGCGTCACAACGTAGATTTCCCGCTATATTGACACGAAAAAAAACTTTTGCAAAAATTAACTTTTAACATTCATGAAACATTGCTTCATAGGCACATAACTATAAGTACTTATTTTGGGTTAACTTAACACATCAAAAAAGTCCTTTTTACAAGTAAATAAACTTATTTTAAGCAATTTAAATGCAAATATAATATGTCCCAAAGAAAATGTCGGTCATAAACAACATCCGTTCAGACGGACGCCACACTATATTTCTATATTGTCTATGATCAGTGTGATAACTTTGTCTATTAAATGTTACAAAGTCTGTGCACACACTATTCTCTAATATAAATGTAATCCATTTGTTTTTTTTTATTGTTTATATTATTATATTTCTTCAAATAATTACTTTTAATTGAACAAAACAATTGTTATTAAAAAATATATTTTGTTTTCAGAAGTTTTCTAAAATATTAAGAAAGTGACCAATACAAAAATACTTTGTTTATTACCTGTAATCTCTCAGTTTTTTCGTCTTTAAAGTATGACATAAACTCTTCAAATTAACCAAATAATATTTTGCTTCTATTTTTCTATTTTATGATCCAAGATATAGTAAATGGGGGGAAGTTTCCTCTCGTAAGTCATGTATATTACCTTTTTTGGATTGAATTTTAATTTTATAAGCTACAATTCAAAGTATTTTAAGTTTCCATTTAATATTAATGTAATTGGATAAGAATTTTACAATCATTCAGATAAACTTTAGAAATTTTATTAATAATTTCTGTCTTCTACCTGGCAACTTTCCAGCTTTAGCCAGGGTCCGCCTTACATGTGGTGAATAATTTTGGCTAATTGTTTTTACGACCGGCCGCCTGCCTGACATCAACCCTCTTTAGGAAAAGTTTATTAATAATTTCTGTATCATAACAAAAGATTGACAGTTTATCTATATTTGTCTTTTACTTCCATCAATACCAACATCGACTTATACTAATGGACATGCCGTACGAGTATAATCTGCAGTAATTTTTTGGTTTGAAAAGAGCGATAGAGATGGCCTATGCTTTCGGTCTAGCACTCTCTCTTTCCTCATAGATGATTGGCCCTCAGTCAGTACGGTACTATTTTGAGAGAGATAAAGATAGACGGAAACTCCGTTTTCTGTCTTTCTTTCGGAGTGCCACAATTCTCATCTCTAAGGCATGTCCATTAGTATAAGTCGATGAATGCCAATCTATATCGTTAACAGTCTTTGATAATAAAGTTCCCATACTACACAGGTATAAAAACCATAAACATGTTATCTTTACCTCCAAAATAAACAATTAGACCTTGAATATTGATTTTAAATTTGGTATAATTTTATTAACACTAATATGATAAAAGGTAATATTTTTTGTTTGTACGAGTAGAATGTAATGTTTAAAAATATTGATCCGATGGCCAAATTTTTTGCACCGATAAAAATTTACTTCAAATCAGCCTCGGAATGTTGCCCCTTTTCATTAATGACATACACTATATTTTATGTAAGCGGGCTAAAGCTAGTGATAATTATTCTTGCTATTGTTGTAACATTAAATGAGTAAGAAAGAAAGTTACTCCACTAGTCACAGAAGTTTTCTCTTGAACTGAACTAGTACTGGGTGGCGCAAAAGTAAAGAACCTTTTTGGTTCAGCTATAACATTTTTTCTAAATGAGAAAACTAGATTTAGGTTTTTTTAAATGTATATTTGTGCCATTAAATTTCGTACCATTAGGATTTAAAGATGATGTCTTTTAAATGGTGACCTCCACAGTTGATACACATTTGAGCCCTATTTATGACATTTTGCATAACTTGCCGTAACACTTCCTGCGATATGTTCGTTATTTCTTGACGAATGTTTTCTTTTAGAGCTGCGAGAGTCTGTTGCTTGTTCACATACACCCGAGATTTCAAAAAACCCCAAAGAAAGAAGTCTGGACTGGTCAAATCGGGTGATCTTGCAGGCCAAGGCAAATCGCCAAAACGAGAGATAACTCGGCCTGGAAAAGCGTCCCTCACTAAGTCCATAGTGTCGTGCGCTGTGTGTGCCGTAGCGCCGTCTTGTTGAAACCAGATGTAACTTTTAGTGGGTGTAGAGGTGTTTCTTGAATAATGCGCGGATTATGAGTGCCCCAGAACCGAGTATTCTGCTTATTGACATGCCCTGAGAGATGGAAATGCGCTTCGTCACTCATAACCAATTTTGTGTATCAACTCTGGAGGTCACCATTTAAAAGACATCATCTTTAAATCCTAATGGTACGAAATTTAATGGCACAAATATACATTTAAAAAAACCTAAATCTAGTTTTCTCATTTAGAAAAAATGTTATAGCTGAACCAAATAGGCTCTTTACTTTTGCGCCACCCTATATTTACAATTCTCCTCTCAACTGATTCATTTTAGCATTCTGTTGCTGTAAAGTAATCGAAACATCGGGAGTGTGTAGTTTTTATCAAAAATAAAGTTCCTCGTAGTATATCCGCAAAATATAAGTTTAATTTAAATGACTCGCGAAAATCTCAGATCTCATTATTCTGTTCGATATACAGTTTTGTATTTGTTTTACAATGGTCGGCGTTACTTCCAGTTTTGTTTTACAAAATGACTGATTAAGCCATTAATAGTTTTAGCAGCTTAATGTCAATTTTCTTTAAATTACCTAAAAGAGGGACTATCTGGAGAACTTTCAGAGTACACAACTATTAAAAATAAATTGAAAGAGCATTTTCCAAACGATATCGAGTGTCATTTCATTAAAAGGGACATGATTATTTTATCCAAAAATGGTACTTACTGCAAGTAAGAAACTTATATTTTTTTCTACACCATCGAAAAATAGAGATTTCAACAAATAGAAAACATACCAAATTTTTGAAAAAAGCTGATATTTTGACGGGTGATTTTTCAATTGAAAATAAGACTGATTTTTCGGTATTTATTGAAAATAAGCTGAAAAAATAAATATTTCTAATAAAATAATTTACAGTGCATTTGGAACATCAAAAGGAAAGTTCACCAAATTTTGTGACAAAAAATTGTTTTTTGAAGAGATAAAAATATATAAAAAAAACTAGGTTTTTTCAATTTTTCACATAAATTTTGAGGTTATGTGAAAAAAATGTTAGAATAAGTTTTAGATCTTTTTATTACCTATAACTTTGCCATATAACTTTTTGCCGAAAATCGAGAAAACCCTTTTTTACCCTTAAATATCCATCCCCATACCCTTCCCGACCTCAGATCGCCTGTAAATTATTTTTCCTATAATTTTTATAATATTATCCTCCTTTTCTAATGAGTTTCATTCTAATATAATTTAATTCACTTTTCATTAATTTTAAAGGCTCCTGCACTTTTTTTTTTCACGAGGGGAATCTTTCAAAGACTTCCTGCCGCGGGGGAAACGCGACATGGGCACGTGGGATTTCCACTCACTAAACCACCTCGGCGTTCTCTGCGCTGTGCGTAGACTAGTGAGCGGGAACGGCAAGCCATACTTCCGCTCACTACACACGAGTCCCGAAAGGGACTCCGCCATCGGCAGGGGTATCAGTGGCTGACCACACCACCCCTCCGACTCAAGAACAGCGTGCCGGGAACGCCAAACACGCTGCTCTTCCTCTAGCCTATGTTACCCGGACGCCGGTTCCCCACCGATGCCCGGAGGCTTCCTCACTGGGAAAGGCTTCTGCACTGGCCTAAGAGAGTTTAACCTTATTAAAAATATTCTCAATATAGGGAACAGTAAACTTTGTTAGTTTACATTAATATATTAAAAAAAATAAAACATTTATAGCAAGAAAGTGAAAAGTTACGTCCTAATTATCTTCACACAAATCCATTTTAGAATCCAAGGCTAGTTGTAAGTTGTACTTTGATTGTTGAACTTTCACAATGAGCTACCATATAACATTTATAAAACTTGTAATCCATTTTAATAGACACTAAAAATTTGTTAACTACCCAACCAAATAGCTATTTGTTTTGCAACCTGTGACGTAGCACGTGTCGCTATGACAGTTTGAACCGTTTTGCCATATTTCTTTAAGATTTTGAACCCCTCCCCCCCATCCTTACCACATTTTTATAACCCCTGATGCGACATCACACATTTTGGGAATAGGAATAGAAAGGGACAGAGCGAGAGTAAATGAGTAAGGTCGATTATGATTTGTAAGCAATGTTTATAAAGTTGTCTCAAAGAAACAATGTGAGTCAATTAGAAATTGATTTCTATTCCTAATTATTTTCATTTCCACATTACGAAGTTTCACTTATTCTTCGCGAATGGACTCCATGCACTATTTTTTTTAATGCTTTGGCTTCGTTCGTACTAGACTCTTGAAATATTTTACCAATGTAACCGTTTTTATTTGTTTTACTTTTTTTTCTTAATCGGACATGCAGTATTTCTGCATACAATATGTTCTATTACATTTAGAAACTTCAAGTTAAAGGCCAATTGAGCTATATAATTATTACATCATGGATCTTGGCCATTCTTGACAAAAAAATAATTCTACGACTAAATCAAACCATTAACAAAAGTTTATATAAGCACAGATTATTAACACATTAATAAAACCACAGATGATATTTAATATAAAATTATTTATTTTTCTTTTTCGTGTTCTTCGGTGCCTGCGGTTTTCCGAACGTCTTACCCTTTTTACCCTTAGCCGGTTTACCCTTCTGGAACTTTCCATTCTGCAGTGGTTTTCCCTTCTGCACCCTGTTCGCGTCGTATCTCAGTTTCTTGGTGGAAGCATTGGAGACGTCAGTGAGGTCGTTCGCAAAGTTCGTCTGCTTCTTCCTCTTGCCTTGCTTCTGTTTGTGAATTGGTCTTTCGTCATCGTCTTCTACCGCGCGTATTCTTTTCTGTTTCTTCTGACGTTTCGCCATTCTAGATTGCAGGAGCGCCACCTTCAGACATAGATTATATATTAATACAAATAACTATAGAGATTTTTAATTATTCCGACCGAATGAACATGAAAAAATTGTTCTGGACCAATTGTTACGAGACTGGCATAAAAAACAGGTGAAGTATTATGGAGTAGCTTTTAAAAATACTAATTAATAAAGAACTATTCCGCTCGCACATGTATTGATAGTAATACATCTTTATATTTATAATTCTTCTGTGAGTGTGTATGTTACTGAACTTCTCTCAAACGACCGGACCGACTTTGATGAAATTTTTTGTATGTGTTCAAGGCGATCTGGGAATGGTTTGGATTCACAATTTTGTCCGCTGGACAATGTTTTTTTGATTAATTTTTAATTTATTATTAGTTGTTGATACAAACGTTTTTTTGACATTAGATTTGACAACTAACTAATATGTCAATCATTCTGTCGCACTTCAAAACACGGAGATTTATGGCTTTAATAGGTAAACTCCAAAAATATAAATAAAAAAACGTAACAGATATTTCTTGATTATAGGGCGATAGGAAGTTCGCCGGGTCTTCTAGTATATTACATAACTGTCAAATACATGTATTATTTCTATATGTATATATAAATACCTTCTCCATTTCCTTCCTAACTCTCTCTTCTGCTGAATCCTTCACGTGTTTCGTTTGTTTCTTCTTCTTTTTCTTCTCTCCGTCATCAGAGTCGTCGTCATCATGTTTTCGTTTCTTTCCTTTACCTTTCTGTGATTTCTCGGCTGTTTAGATATGAAATATATATAAGTATACTATTATTGATATTAAGGTATTACACTTTACTATTTTTTATCACTATATTTGTGTGGGTGGTTATACAAGTGAATATGCACGTGCGCATGTGATCAAATAGTGAAAATAAAACTATTTCGATTGAATTGTTATGTATGAAATGTTATGTATATAGTTAGATGATAAAACACATATAATTATTATTTGCACTTAGTATATTAATATGTTTTCTCGATACCAAACACTTTCCCTTCATAGTTACCAATATATCTTTATACTAATAATTAGTAGCATTAGCATAATTATTATGCTACGATAAACGGTTTTTGGTATAACTTCGCTTATCATCAATCATTTATCAATAATTCATAATACGTACGCTAATATAGACTCTTACGATATTATTAGTATAAAACAGATATAACAGCACAATTTTTATTTTATTACCTTTCCCCACATGTTTGGTCAGTGCGAGTCTTTCTTTTTCCTCCCTCTTTTCCTTCGGTGTCTGGAACCAGTCGTGTTGTCTCGGCGCTTCTAAAGGAGTGTCAGTTTTTTCATTCTTGATAGCGCTTTCTAGTTTATTAGTCTGTTTCTCCATTTTCTTCAGCTGTTTATCAGCGTATTCCTCATCCAGAATTGCAGCTGTTGAAGGTTTTAGATATTTTAAGAAATCATTTATATGTATATTAATATACATATATCCTACTAATATTATAATTGCGAAAGTTTGTGTGTGTGTATGTTTGTTACTTCTTCACGCTCAAACGGCTGAACCAGTATTTTGATAAAATTTTGTATATTGGAAGATGACGTCCAGGAATAACACATAGGCTACTTTATATCCCGGAAATCCGCGGATATCACCGCGGGGCGCAGCTAGTATTCATATAAATATAACAAGCTTATAACAATCTTAAGGTTTATCTGTATCTCAAAAAAAATTTAAAGCTCCAATATCTTTTGAAAGGACAGATATTTTTTATTTTATTTTATTTTTTTACTTTATTAAGGAACAAACAGTCCACAATACACTTAAATTTTAAATAAAATTACAAAAACATACACCAATGAAGCTGCCACAAATAATATATAGGCCAAAAATTTATGTAATATTTCTCTTACCAATCTCAGGCTCCAGTTTCGCCAGTTTGTCTCTATACTTGGCTACTATATCAGCGGGTAGGACGCGTGATTTCACAGCACGTCGTGCGCGACGTACTATTGTCTTCACCAGGTTTCGCTCGCCTTCACCGGCTAAAGAAACTGATACACCCGCACGACCAGCACGAGCGGTACGACCGACCTGGTGAATATAAGGCATTTATATATAGAGATGTGGCTTCAGTACAGAAAGTAATAATATGGTAGAGCCCAGCTGTGGTCTACTTGACTACAGCGCTAACGTGGGCTGGCTCGACCGGGGAAGTACCATCCTATCACAGGAGATCGGTATGAAATAGTCTTAAATGGCAGAGTTTCATCCGATGAGTGAAAGAGACGGTTACCCTTTCCTTTTTCCCACCCTTTCCTCTACATTTCTCACAATCAAGGTTGACAACGCATTCGCAAAATAAGATATGTTGCGGATGTCTATAGGTGACGGTTAATACTGCCCATCGAGTACTCCATCTGCTAGTTTACCGCCTTTCTCATAAAAAAGTAGAATGGTATCCCATTGACGGGATTAGGACTCGAACTTTCGATCACCGGGATATCACATCCCAGTTTACAAACGGAGCTATCGTGGCTGATTTGATTTAGTGAATAAAGCATTGCATATAATTGCATATACTAGATAATAATTACATAATTAAAATATGTCTTTAAAGAAAACCACATACTTTTTTTGCTATTTACATCATTATTGTAACCGTTAATTAATGTCTTACATATAGTATTTGTTTTGTTTCTACCCACCCTGTGTATATAATGTTCTATGGTAGCTGGTAGTGTGAAATTCAACACAGTCTTCACGCCAGGTATGTCCAATCCTCGGGCTGCTACATCTGTCGCCACCAGTACATCCACTTGTTCCTCCCTGAACCGCTTCAGGGAATCCAAACGTTGGGGCTGGTTTAATGCTCCGTGGAGTTCAGCTACCTAAGTATCAGATTATTATTATTTATTCATCTGTGCAATGAGTATATATCTGTGGCTGTATGCTTAACGATTTATAACACAAAAAATAATAATATATCTTTTTATTCAGCTTAATTGCAAGTATAAAAAATATGTCAATACCATGTCCAAGAAATTACTAACATATTTTTCTTATAACTCTCATAGTGATATTCAATGTGTGGGTTGAAATCCCCAAGAGGTGTACAAGATACAAGTGTAATAACTAATAAGTATTAAAAGTTAGTAAAAATGTTAAAATGATTGAATTATGACTAGTCAAGAAATATTCATATCATGAAATAGATTAAGAAGATTCTTATATATTTTTATGAATATGCAATGAAGGATTTAGTTAAAACTTACTTTTATAAGAGAACATGGGTTCTACTGAATCCAAATCTAATATAAACCTATCAAATCACAACGATTGTATTTAAAAAAGTCTAAATATACCCAAAAAATAATTATTATTGTAATTTAAATCTTAAATTAATAAACTGAAGGTCTATTTTGCTTTGTGTTATATATTTTATCAAATGACCTTTATTCCCAAAAGTCCCAGCGCCACGTGTAGTCTGTGAGCCTGCTTCTTAGTCTGTACGAAGATGACGGCCCTGTCCTTGAATGTACGACACACTAGCGCCGCTAGGATCGCCTCCCGGTCGCACTCGCGCTCTTTACGAATACTGGAATTAATGGATTATATTACATACACATATGTACATATATATTATGTATTATGTATCATTTTGATGATTACTAAGTGTGTGATATTTGTGTTTAAATATAATGATTTTAAACATCCTCATTTTCGGTAGAGAACATTAGTAATTATTGTTTTATTGTATACTAAACATTTGTTTTCGTCTGAAAAGATAAAGGGGAAATATTCAAGAGTTTTGTTCGTAATTACCAAGTTATGTTGATACAAAGTTGCAATTGAATAATTAACACTAACTACATGGAATTCATGAGAACACATTGTATAATCATGTAGATATATGTATGTGTGGGTGTGTGTGTGTGTGTCTTTACCGAACAAACTCCTGTCTTAAATTGAACGCGACATCTTTGTTGGAGTCCAAGAACAGCTTGACTGGTTTCCTGAGCGAGACTGCGGCCAAGTCTCTGACCTGGTCACTCATAGTGGCTGAGAACAACATGGTCTGGCGTTTGGGAGAACATTGACGAATGATTTCCTTCATCTGCTCAGCGAAATACTCGTCCAACATCCTATAAGAAAAATATATATTCGTACTAGCTTTCCGCCCGCAGCTTTGCCCGCGTGGAGTTCGGTTATATCGCGTTTCCAAGAGAATCTTTCAAGAGTGTGGGATATAAACTATCCTTTGTTGTTTCTTAAGGTCAACTCTATATCTGTACCAAATTTCATTAAAATCAGTTCAGTGGCTTAGGTGTTAAGGCGTAACAGACAGACAGACAGAGCTACTTTCGCATTTATAATAATATATTAGTAGGGATTATTTGAGTAATCAAAATTAAGGATAGTTATTATCAAATGATTCTGTGAACATTGTCTCTTTAATTTAGAATGCTTATATTTTAAAAGACAGCAGTATTCGGTAGGTAGATGCTAACATGTTATGTACATTTTTCAGAATTTTCTCTTAAACATATTTAAAGTTGCTAAATATTAAAATAAGTGACGGTACAAAGTAAAGTTTGGGCAAAACCGATCAAATTATGTACCCTGAATTCCATTACAAATATAAATGCAAAATAGTTTATTTTGACAAAATTATATGTTTGAATGAAACTAATATTTTCGGATTACTATTAAAGTCTCCATTCATACAATCACTTTGTCTGTACGTGATCACGGTTTCTGTAAAGTAACCGAAACGTCGGCAGTATGTAGTTATAAAAACAATAAAATACGAGACGAAATCCAAAAATATTAGTTTCATTTAAATGAATACCCTCAAATTCATAGATCTCATTATGATTATGTGTTTTTTTGAAATTAAACCGATATTTATATATGTGATAGTTATTTATAATTAGTATGAGATGTTTTGAAACCTCTATCTACCATCATACCTGTCAGCTTCATCCAATATGAGTACTTCTATGGAGTTGAGATCAAATGAGGGAGTGTTCCGTATATGATCAATGAGCCGGCCAGGAGTCGCTATCACCACGTCCGGGTGACGACGAAGAACGCTTTCCTATAACAAACATACTTATTATAAATATTATATAGAAAAAACATATACATATTTAAGCACATTTATTTTAATGGTAAAGATCAATAGAATCATTAGGTATACAGGGTGACTGGTGAATTACTATCGATACTTGAGGACGTGATATTTGACGATCATATATGACAAAATAAAAATTAATATAACATAATATTAATAAACTTCTAAGTAAAGTTAACCAAAAGTTATGTAATTAATTACGCATCGTGTGAACACCCTACAGATTAGGTATACACTCACACTCACACATACGCGGACGGCGGCGTAGTGTTGTATCAGCACGCCGCCGCACGCGTCCACACTAGGAACACTTGGAACGTGTACACACTTTATTTATTTATACGGAAATTTGGTCAAAAATTAAGTGCCTATTTTTTTTACATAATTCGAATGAGAATCATGTACCGAGTATTCTCCTTAAATATTGATAGTAATTCACCAGTCACCCTGTATATTAAAATATAGTTATTTTTATGAAAAGAGGCTTTATTTCAAATATGATTGAGATTCATATTGAATGAGTATTGTCTTAACAGCTTCTTATAGAGTACATATGTATGTAATTGAAAAAAATAAGGAGTAAAAAATATCTAAATTGTGATCAATTTCTATAATGACTGTATCAGATTAAAATGCTTGTTTTGACATATATAAATAATAAATATGGCGGATATTTTTTCTTTATATTTGGTCCCATCTCACATTTAAAAATATTAAATAAGTTTATGTATAGGATATTAGGCTTTAATTTTTTTTGTTTCAATTCGACCATATAATGCTCAGCCAACCCAATATTGAATTAAGGTGGACATTTTGATCACTTGTCTACTGATGTTTAATGCCTAAGTAAAGCCATGAAAATTCACTTAAAATATTGTTTTTATCCTTATATTTTCATTATAGCACTTTAATAGAAAATATTAATATCAAGTTAAAATTAATATTTTTCTTAATTCTTTGTTTACCTGATATTTCACATCTAAACCTCCAACAGACAGACCGATGGTAACTTGTGTGAACTGAGCTAGTTGACGGGTAACTGTATGTACCTGAATGATAATAATTATAATTAATATCAATTAAATTTGTTCTAATACATATATATATATATATAAAAAGATTTTTTCATTAAACAACTTATATGAAAGCTCTAGAGAGAGTAAGCATCATGGACAATATGTACAATAAAAAGTTCTTATCAATTTTTATCTAGAATAGATATACAGTCAAAACCGTTTATAACGACATCGTTTACAACGACCTATCGGTTATTACAGCCAGATTGTATGGTCCCGTCCGAATTGCTAGTGAACTATTCAGTAAACAAACCGCTTATAACAACATCGGATACAGCGACATATCGCTTAGAACGACGAAAATTCATCGATATTAATCGACTTTAACGACCAACCGCTCCTTGTACTTACCCAGTTGCAAAGATCTACTGCTTTAGAACAAAGAATTGAGATAGAGGAATTTATTGAAATAGATAACAGTGTCGCGTTAGCGCTTTAGCTACTGAGGAAGAGATTCTTGCAGAAGCTAAAAGTAACAACCCTAACACTAACGAACAACACGAAGACCAACAAGACCTTGAAAAATAGTTTCAGCCAACAATAATGTCCGACGCTCTTAATGATGTAACAGTTTTGCAAAAAAAAATTGCCTTTGATATTGATGATACTCATACCTTGAGTATGAAACGTAAAATGCTAAAAATATTTGAGACTGTGCTAAAAAAAATAATTCTAAAATGACTGATTACTTTAAAAACTAGTGTAGTTTTTTATAACCCGCAACTGTAAGCAGCCAAGTACATACATTTTGTATTCTAATTATTTCGTAATAAATATTTTTATTTCTTTTCTGAATCGTTTACATAACCTATATCTATACTAGATAGATATGTGACTACATATGACAATATGTATAACTACTGTAGTTGTGTATATGACTATTGCTTATAACGACTATCGGATATAACGTCGGATATATACGGTCCCTTCAATGTCGTTATAAACGGTTTTGACTGTAATATCAAATTATTTCAACAAGATTCTTTAAAAATAGGTTTAAAGATCTTTTTTCTCAATAAGACAATACATAGTCACTTATTTGAGAACATTACTAACTTAAACCAATAACTTTATTAACATTTGTCACACCAGGTTTTATTTAATCTGTAGTGGTTAGTAGGTACGAAATTAATAAGAGAATAAAAGAAAAGGAAAACGCACCCACTGTATGCGTTAGTTGGTAAGATATTGCGCGAGTTACGTTTTAAGTGAATGCGTCTTCCTTATACCAGAAGTTATTTTATTATAAAGCTGTGCTCCTTCAAATGTGATCATTTTTTTTCCATAAGTAGTTCTAGTTTTTGGCAGAACTAAAGGCTAACTCGTCTGTTGCTACGTTTACTATCGCGCTTGGTAAATGTTACATTAGTGTAAATGTTTTTATTAAGTGACTTTTGAATAAAGATACAAACGTTATAAGTATATAATTGATTGATGTTCATTATTTTAGTTTCGTTGTAAATATTTTTAGTGGCCGTTAGATATGGATAGTTAAAAAGTAACTTGATAAGTTTATATTGTGCAATTTGTAAGTTAGCAAGTTTTGTTTTTGCAGCACTTCCCCAAACTTCAATTAAGTATGAGAGAAAAATCTGTTTTTAAACTATTTTTACACAACTGTCCACTCATATAATGCAAGGGCTCCATCTAGGCTAAAAATTCTGTAATTTTTAGCCTAGATGGAGCCCTTGTATTATTGCATTCTAACTGTTTAGAAAAGTTCTATAGCTACGTATTCCTACCCTTTTTAGATAACTTACCCTTTGTTAGAACATATATTTAAATAATCTGGTAACCATAACAGTTTAACACCTTCCCTTTCTTACTTGCCCCCTAATAAGTATTTACAAGCTCATTTCAAACTATTGTAATCGCTATCAAACTTTGACTCCTCCCTTTCTTTCTTGCCTCCTAATTAGTATTTGCAAGCTCATTTCAAACTATTCCGGTGGCCATCATAATTTGACCCCTCCTTTATTAGTTGCTCCCTACTTCGATAATTGAATGAACCTATATATAGAACTCACCTGAGCTCCAAGTTCCCTGGTAGGTACAAGCACTAATACTCGCGTGCGTCTTTCAGTAGGTTTGTATAAAAGTCGCTCCAAAACTGGCACCATGTATGCAGCGGTCTTACCTGTACCAGTGGCTGCACACGCACAGATATCTTTACCTGTGATAAAAAATAAATCCTCAATAATTTGAAATACTACTTAAAATCAAATTTTTTATTTTATTTTCTTAAAAACTACAAGAATGTACTAAGTTGTATATCATAATTTTAAATGAGATACTTTGTTTCTGTTTCATGTAAGATATACTAAGGAAATTTGATAAAACTTTTCAATATTGGTGCTTAATCATCAGAATAATACATAGGCTCCAATATTCTCTTCACAGAGTTTAATTTAGAGAACAGATCTAAGCGGTTATATATAGTATGAAGTCATATGACACTTTTGATAGATATCTGTTATACTAAAAATATTTAAAATTACTATCAGTGCAGAAGTTTGTAACACACACACAGACATACATAGAAACGGACAAAATTTACTATATTTTATGCCCATGAACACAAAAACCTATACTTACCTAACAAAGCAATTGGTATGGTTGCAGCTTGAATGGGTGTAGGGTGAACATAATTCATAGATGCAATTGCTTTAAGCATCGGCCGAGACAGATTCATCATATAGAAGGTGGCCTGTTCATCATATGGAGGTGGTTCTTCGAAGAAGTCAGAATCATACTCAATACGAGCACCTTCACCTTCATCTTTCTTTAGTTCCTAAAAAATATATAGGTTAATTAATAATAAGTATTTTAGGGGATTTTTAATGATCCAATAGAGTCATAGAGACAGTGTAAACTGAAAAATAATTAAAATTTAAGGAAATAAGGCCAAGGCATGGGTTAATAGGACTTAAAAGGCCTTTCTATTCTGGTGTCCATACATTTAATTAACCTCCTCTGTGAGAGCTATCAGATCATAATAAATGTAATATAAATAGGTCTTAGTTTTTAAATTACTATTTTACTAATCTTTGTTTACCTATTTAAGAAGTTAATATACAGGGTGACTGGTGAATTACTATCGATATTTAAGGACGTGATATTTCACGATCATATATGACAAAATAAAAATTAATATAACATAAATATTAATAAACTTCTAAGTAAAGTTAACCAAAAGTTATGTAATTAATTACGCATCGTATGAACACCCTACAGATTAGGTATACACACACACACACACTCGCGCGCGGCGGCGTGTTGTTGTATCAGCACGCCGCCGCACGCGTCCACACTTGGAAGACTTGGAACGTGTACACACTTTATTTATTTATACGGAAATGTGGTCAAAAATTAAGTACCAATTTTTTTTACATACATGATTCTGATTCGAATTATGTAAAAAAAATAGGTATACAGGGTGACTGGTGAATTACTATCGATATTTGAGGACGTGATATTTGACGATCATATATGACAAAATAAAAATTAATATAACATAAATATTAATAAACTTCTAAGTAAAGTTAACCAAAAGTTGTGTAATTAATTACGCATCGTATGAACACCCTACAGATTAGGTATACACTGACACTCACACATACGCGTGTCGTGACGTGGTGTTGTATCAGCACGCCGCCGCACGCGTCCACACTTGAACACTTGGAACGTGTCAACACTTTATTTATTTATAGGGAAATTTTGTCAAAAATTAAGTACCTATTTTTTTTACATAATTCGAATGAGAATCATGTACCGAGTATTCTCCTTAAATATTGATAGTAATTCACCAGTCACCCTGTATAATTTTTGACCAAATTTCCGTATAAATAAATAAAGTGTGGACACCTTGCCGGTGGCGCGGGCGGCGCCGCACGCGTGTGTCGCTACCCCCAACCCCCGCCCCGTGACTAATTAGTCGGGCGAGCGCCACTGTAAGGTCTGTACGTTCGTCTTCCCGCGCGCTCGCCTAGCGATCGATCTTACGCGTGTTCACACGATGTAGGGTGTGCACACGATGCGTAATTAATTACATAACTTTTGGTTAATTTTACTTAGAAGTTTATTAATATTTATGTTATATTCATTTTTATTTTGTCATATATGATCGTCAAATATCACGTCCTCAAGTATCAATAGTAATTCACCAGTCACCCTGTATATTGTGTTAAGTCTATTATATGAGTAAAAACATATTCTTCATACCTCTTCTAACTTCTGTTTTTTCGTCAGTTTCTTTGGTTTTGTTTTAATTTCATCTTTCTTAAGTTCATCATCAGATATTTCAAATTCATCCAAGCCCGCATCTGAGGAAAATATACATACAAAATAACATTACAATCAATTCCAACCAAAATCAATGTTATTCATGAAAATAGTATTAATATGGTAGTTTAGTACAAATTAATCTATATCTAACCTTGAAATAATAAAATGAATATCTGGCATAGGAATAACATTATTAGACACTATATTATATAAATTATTTGGCCTCCCATATACTTTGTGTGATCAATGAGAAAATTCATACAATTTTGGATAAAATATTTTCTATACAACCTCTTATTCCATCAATTTGAGTATAGTAGTTCAAAATTTTTTCATATAAACTACCATGGGCTTGGTTGAAGAACTTTTTAAGTATGTACATATATAAATATCCTTTTAAAAATTTAAATAAGCTTAGTATCAGTCAAAAAGTAGCTTAAATCATTTAATTTAATTATTAGTGCTTTATAATGTTCATTCCCAAACATAATTCATAATACAAAATATATATATATATATATATATATATATATATATATATATATATATATATATATATATATATATATATATATATATATATATATATATATATATATATGTATATATTTACCTTTCTCTTCTTCCGATTCACTATCATCAATATTGCCTTTGACCTTTGCTTCGGCTCGTCTTTTCTCAATCTTCTGGTCTAATGTTTGTTTAACATTTCTTTTAATATACTTATGCAGATCGTCCCATGGACTCTGGAATGAAAAAGTCATTAAATATTTCAAATTATATATATAAAAGAAATATAGCCTCTTAGTGGGTTCAATTTACAACTCTATAAATAAGAACATATTTTATATGTACTTTTTGATTAAATATAAGAAAGTATAATTTTAAAAACAGTTTATATAAATTATTATAAAATAGTATAGTAAATATTTTATTCTGTATCATTGGTTTATATTAAAAACTTACCTTGTTATACTCATCAACGGAACCAACAAATTTAAATGATGGATCAAAATCTGCTTGTCTTTTAACTTTTTGTTTGGTTGGCTGGTACTGTAAATAAATTATACTATTATTAATATTTTCCACTACAATAAAACCTTTTACTTGTTACGGTATTCATGAATTTTGCAATATTCTGTGATTCTTAGGTTTGTCAGTGTCAATGTTTTGATAGATTTTAGATCAATTGTTTGTAATCTTTTATATAAAATAGTTGTAGCGGTTCTACAATAATATATATCAATAATGTCGAAGGATAATGATAAGGAAAAGACATGCCCAAGTAAGTTGTGAATGTAAAGTTAAATATTTGCAAGACTTACGTCTTCTTCCACATCAGATTCCTCTGAGAAATCTTCTACTTCTTCATCATCATTAATGGTTTTGATTAGGCCTGGATGACCTTCTACCTCCATATTGATAGCTAATAATAAAATCTAAAACTTTTAATAAAACGAGAGCTCATTGTTTGAATTCGGTTCAGGTTAGTTTTTTAAGTCAAAAACACATGTATCTGTTATTCCTGTTTAATCTGTTTGTATTTTAATCCTCCGTTCAGTAATATAAAACTATAGGAAATTAGGATAAAAGCTTATTAAAAATAATTCATTAATAAATTTTAACTCTAATTTATTTGTGACTTTAACAGAAAATATTAATTTAAATATAAATTTCCATGACTTAGAAATTGTTAGACACGATAATCTTTGAATCTGAAGTGTCATCACTGAACACTTTGATGGTTGAATTAGCAATTTATAATTTTGCAGTAACGTGATGTTGTAACGTCACATTATTTTATTAATATATTTATTGTAGAAACGAAGAAACCCTGTTGTAAATGCTATGATATAGGTAAACGTGTGTGTTTTGAAAATAGTTCTGTAAAAATGGCAGATCAACTACTTATTCATGATGATATTAAACTGTAAGTATGTTTTGTATTAATTGTATTAGCACATTTTCATTTAAAATTATTTCCTTTCAATATGCTTTCCGGCTTTTAAACTTATATATATTTGCTATATAAGATTTTTTATGTTACATTTAAAGTTTTCTTACTACGAATTCATTATAAATGTTTGTAGGTACACTACATCAGACAAGTTCTACTTCGAACCAACAATCAATCCAACTGAAGTGCTGGTAATTGATAGAATAACTGGAGAGGCTACTGTCAAAGGTGAGAAAATGAGATATACAATAAGTAATCATGAAAAACAAACCTACAATACTTCACACTATTACCTTAAACTTTGAAGCAATATTGAGGTAATATTTAAATTAGTGACATTAATAATGAAATATTTATAACATGACTATGATTCAAATATGCTTGAGTACAGTAACTTCTATGTTTAACAATATAGCAACAGGAATGTAATATTTGGGAGGTAGCTGTTTAAGTTCTGCTTGTGTTAATGTATTTTCATTGTATATTTCCTAATTGAAACACTAAAATATACACACATACACATTTATTGCATATTAATATTAAACCATCAAAAAGCATTATTTCATTAACTTACTAAGTTTTATGAAATTCCCTAACAGTTATAGTCATTCACTGTGGATACAAAAGTTCATTATTAACATCAAATTGGTATAATAAGTAGGTCATAAATGATTACTTCAGTAAACTTATCTAATTAGATGAATTACCGATGTTAATTAAAATGATTACAAAATTTGTTCAATCGAATAAAGTATCTTTACTTATTTCTGATATAGTTCAAATTTAATGGTCATTTTAGAGAAATTTTTACTTGGAATAGTATATTTTTTACTTATAAGGTATTAAAAATGAATATATACAAAGTTATCTTAAAAATTACTACTTGAATAATTTGTAACAATCATATATGTATAATATACAAACTAATATTTTTATATTAATATGATATTATATAGATTACTAGCTTTCCACCCGCAGTTTCGCCCGCATGTTGTTCGGTTATATCGCATTTTCAAGAGAACCTTTCAAAAGTCTGATATTAAAACTATCCTATGTTCTTTCTCAAGGTCAACTCCATCTCTGTACCAAATTTCATTAAAATCAGTTCTGTGGTTTAGGGTGGAAGAGAAACAGACAGACAGACAGAGTTACTTTTGCATTTATAATATTAGTAGGGATAGGTAATGATTGGCGAAAATTACTATTTTTATTGTATTCACAACTTAAATTATTCTAAAGAGGGTATAATACACCCTGTATATTTATATTTGAGTACAGCTAGGACCAATAAGAGTGATCTTTCCCAGAACAAAATGTAGTCATAAGGCAGGGATAGTTTGAGTTTTATAGTACTACTGATATTATAAATGAGAAAGTTTGATAAATGAATGGAAAATTACTTGAAGGTAAGGAAGGTAACTCAAAAGTATTAATTCCTGCAAAAGTTATTTTGTATTTTGTACATGAAGTGCAATGTTGTAGACTATAGCTGTCATAAATACTATATGTATTATAATAAAATTGCGGTCTAAAATCAGTTTAAGATAAATCAGATAATAAAAATAATCAAATACATTGGTATTACTAAATATGTGTTGCAGTCACAAAATTTAATAAAACTTCTGTAAATTATATTAATTAATTTGGAATAGAAAGCTCCAAAATTTGTAATCAAGTAATATTATTTGTTTATGCCAAAAAGATATAAAATATTTAAAGAGTTCTCATAGAGCCAATTATTAAATGTTTCTATTAGAAAAATCAACTAATATATATCAGTGAAAATTATAAATATATTATTTATAAATATAATATAATTATTATGAATACTGTTGAACAAAATAATATTATTATTTCAGACATAAATGCAGTTAAGATCCCAATACCGGCGAATGCCTACAAGCCGGTGTGTGGCTTCCTCGGCTCCATAAAGCTCATATCGGGATTATATTTAGTTGTTGCTAAGTATAGAATATTGGTCAGTTATTATTATATTAAACATATACAAATATATTTATATATATGGTACATATATGTAGTATATTCCCAGCATATTTAAAGCTAGTTACTGTAATGTCATATATATTTTTGTCAACAGGTAGGTAAAATAAATGGTCAAGACATATATCAGTTGGCTGGCACAGATATAATACCATATGCACGCTCCAATACACATCTTACCAACAAACAGGTTAGTATAATATACATATATGATGATATTAAATAGTAAAAGGAGTTCTTATATATATTTATGTACTACTAGCTTTCCGCCCGCAGCTTCGCCCGCGTGGAGTTCGGTTATATCGCGTTTCCAAGAAAACCTTTCAAAAGTCTGGGATAAAAAGTACCCTATGTTCTTTCTCAAGGTCAACTCTATATCTGTACCAAATTTCATTAAAATCAGTTCAGTGGTTTAGGCGTGAAAGCGTAACAGACAGACAGACAGAGTTACTTTCGCATTTATAATATTAGTAGGGATAAGTATGAATACAATATAAACAAAGCATTTAAAATTTATTACCAATGATTAGATAAGAAAGATTCATGTATGAAATACTGTGATCAGTGATAATGATGCTGTTGACTTTGATGCTTAAATTTAATTAAGATGGCAACCAGTGGTTCCAGGAAAACTAATAAACTCAGGTACTTATATGTATATTATAATAATGATTACATGTTAAAACTTATAACCTATAACTAAGACTACATGATTGTCCCGATGTTGGGATAGCATTACCATTCCATAGCTTGTGTGGTATCAGGAATCTTCTGGTTCACACGGCTTGGTGTTCCGCGGAGTAAGCAGCGTCACTCGTTATGTTAAGATATTTTACCAAAACAAGAATGTTGCCCGGGCGATGTCCATTTATTTCTTAATATGTTGCACTTATGTTTAATATTATGTTGTTTATATTTTAGGTGGAGGATAATAACACGTATGAGCGTATGCTGCGTTTGGCTTTAGATACTCCTGGTATGTATTTCTCATACGGCTACGACCTGACCCACTCTATGCAGAGATTGCATTCGGTAGCACCGGATTTCCATAAGGTATGTCATACTGTCTGAATATACAGGGTGACTGGTGAATTACTATCAATATTAAAGAAGAATACTCGGTACATGATTCTCATTCGAATTATGTAAAAAAAAGAGGCACTTAATTTTTGACAAAGTTTCCGTATAAATAAATAAAGTGTTGACACGTTCCAAGTGTTCCAAGTGTGGACGCGTGCGGCGGCGTGCTGATACAACAACACGCCGCCGCGCGCGAGTGTGTGTATGTGTATACCTAATCTGTAGGGTGTTCATACGATGCGTAATTAATTACATAACTTTTGGTTAACTTTACTTAGAAGTTTATTAATATTTATGTTATATTAATTTTTATTGTGTCATATATGATCGTCATATATCACGTCCTCAAATATCGATAGTAATTCACCAGTCACTCTGTATATGGGTGGTTGTATTATATAGAATTTTGTTTATAATAGTAATATTAAGATTAACAAAGTAAGCAAAAGAATTTAAAGTGTTTATAAGATATTCTATTAATAAAATCCTCATAAATTTTTTTATCCAAAAATTATTAACTCTCTTGTAATAAGAATGTGATTTTTCCAAGTCATATGTACTTTCTAAGAGTATTTAGACATCACTGATTAATGCATTCCCAAAGAGGGTTGATCTCAGGCAGGCGGCCGGTCGTTAAAACGGTTAGCCAAAACTATTTCCAACATGTACGGCAGACCCTGGCTAAAGCTGGGAAATTGCTAGGTAGAAGAAGATTAACTCTCTTGTATTAACATATTTTTGATGTGTATGTTCATTTGATAACACTATATTGCCAGATAGAAGAAGATTAAGTTTCTTGTATTAACATATTTTTGATGTGTATGTACATTTGCTAACACTACATATGTATGTATATGTAAATTTTTGTTTGCAGATGTCGCTGGCCAGCCGAGCTGATTCCAGGTTCCTATGGAACGGTCACCTGTTGAAGGAATACTCTCACCAGCAGTTTGCGAGGTTCGCTCTACCCATCATACAGGGCTGTATCCTTTTATAAAGATGTCATAAAAAAATACTGTTGTTGTATGAAAAATAAGTCAAATGTCAATGATTGGTAAAAAGTTCTTCTGTGCCCTGTGCTAGTTAAAAACATTCACTACTTAAATTGTAATTTATTCTATAGTAGAGAGTACAATTTGTTTTAAGAGTGCTATTAAACTGTGTAGCAACAAAATCTAGTCAATTATGATGGATTATATATTTTTTACAGATTTATATTGTTATTGTTTATCAAACTTTTTTTAAAATCAATTGCTACCAAACAACAAATGCCTTTAATATTTCCTATAACATCCATCAGTCGTGGCAGTGAATCGTGTGAGTGTGAAGGGTCATCAATTAGTCTGGTCCTTGGTCTCCCGGAGGAGTGTGGAAAGAGCTGGCACCAGGTTGTTCACGAGAGGTATTGATGGACAGGTAAGAAGATATGTAGTACACACTAATTAAGGAAACATTGGGACTAATTGGTCTATATTTGGGGTATTAATAGCATACTATGTTCTGATAACTTTATAATTATCACTCGATGCTACCTTCCCCATTGATGACATTCTAAGCTGAAATATGGCCTCTGAGATTCACACTTGGGACTTCAGGCCCGAATTTAACGGGTAGGTCCCATAGGCCATCCACCCCTCGCGATGACGCAGTCAAAGCTATGAGGGCTAATAGCAATAGACAAGCCAGAAGTAAATCTATATGTAAGAATATTTAATATCTTATTCTTGAAATTCTATGTGAAAAACTGATGCTTAATAAATAAAATGTGCTCTTAAATAAGCAGAAGACACATCAATATAAATCATTATTTCTAATGAGTTACAAAGAAAACATACCTCAAATATAATTATATATTAGCGATTAAAGTCTGAAATATGAACAATTTCTATAGGGCAACGTAGCAAACTTCGTGGAGACGGAACAGATCATAGAGCGTGGTGGTGAGAAGTCTTCGTTCCTTCAGACCAGGGGTTCGATACCGTTGTACTGGAGCCAGTACCCTGACCTCAAGTACAAGCCGGCTGTGGCCCTCGCTCCAGAGGACCACGTGGCCGCTTATACTAGACACCTAAGGGACCAGCTACAGCGGTACGGAAACCAGGTCTTGCTAAATTTGGTGAGTTGATCGAGTCGCTCGGCATCGTGCGTATTGCGACATTGCCACTTTGGGCAATGCTACTACGCTAGATAACTAACTACTATTCCGCGCCACATACATAAAGATTTCGAAATTATTGTGATTAATTTATTTTTTTTATCAGATTATTTTATGCTTTTTTTTCTATGCTGATATATTTATTTTAATCTATTAGTGATATATATTAAGGTGTTCAAGGGAACGCCCTCTGTTACATGACGTACTGTATAATCGAGTTCAGTTTTATCTCACTGAAGATCTGCCTTTATTGGCTGCTTTCGTCCAATGAATAAGACTGCCGGTTGCCTTTTCATTGTTCCCACCCTTTCCTAACCTCTCTAAAATCAAGATTGGCAAAGCAACATCTATTAAGTTGCAGATGTCCAAAGGCGTCGTTGACTATTACCCATCTAGTTTGCCGTCTGCTAATTTGCCACCTTTCTTATATGTATAAAAAGGCGTACTATAACATCTACACGGTGACTGGTGAATTACTATCGATATTTGAGGACGTGATATTTGACGATCATATATGACAAAATAAAAATTAATATAACATAAATATTAATAAACTTCTAAGTAAAGTTAACCAAAAGTTATGTAATTAATTACGCATCGTATGAACACCCTACAGATTAGGTATACACACACACTCACACATACGCGCGCGGAGGCGTGTTGTTGTATCAGCACGGCGCCGCACGCGTCCACACTTGGAACGCTTGGAACGTGTACACACTTTATTTATTTATACGGAAATTTGGTCAAAAATTAAGTACCTATTTTTTTTACATAATTCGAATGAGAATCATGTACCGAGTATGCTCCTTAAATATTGATAGTAGTAATTCACCAGTCACCTGTATATACCTAGTTGGTATCATTCATGTACAATTATATATAAATCGTGTTTTAAATACTAGAGAAACACTAGAGAGGAGATTGTGCATTCTATTTGTATGTGGTCTTCTCTGAAAACATAATTCCTTTTGGTGACTGTTTAAGTCAAACTATTCAACTACATATATAGATTCAGATAGTATAGAAGTCAAGAAGCTTCTATCAATACTTCTACCTGGATTTCTATTTCTTTACATTTAGTTGTCAAAGAAAGGTTTGTCCAACCAGTTGATAAATTGTTACTAAAGCTTATGGACACCTGCAACTTCTGGAAATACCTCTTCTAATCTTCTTCTTCTCCCTGGCAATTTCCCAGCTATAGCCATGGTCTGCCTTGCATGCTGTGAATAGTTTTGGCTAATTGTTTTTACGACCGGCCGCCTGCCTGACATCAACCCTCTTTGGGAATGCATTAATCAGTGATGTCTAAATACTCTTTGAAAGTACATATGACTCGGAAAAATCACATTGGTACTTGCCCGGGCCGGGATCGAACCCGCGCTTTCGAGCTTGAGAGGCGGGCGTCTTAACCACTAGGCCACCACTGACTGGAAATACCTTTTCTAATATTAATTGGAATCTGCTTTTTACCCATCAGATCGACCAGCATGGTAAGGAAGAAGCGCTTGAGCGTGGCTATCGTGCAGCTGTAGCAGCAGCAGCACTTCCAGCTGTACGCTACGAGCCGTTCGACTTTCACGCTGAGTGTCGCCGGATGCGTTATGACCGGTTATCCGTGCTATTGGATCGAGTAGCCCACGAACAGGTGAATGAGCACTATGAAGTGTAAAATTCCTTCTTGAATCGTTAATTAATATACCAAGATATTGTGTGATATTGCCTTGATAGTATTTAACGTGATTTAAAAATGGAAAATCATGAAAAACTCTAAACATTAATTATTCACTGCGACGTTCGAAACTTTATTATATGTATAGACACTCTCATTTCTCAACTAATTTATTTTTCATATTTTCAAATATTTACACTTACTACATTATTATTTTACGGGATTAGTTTGTATTCTTTCACCAACATCCATAGAGGATAGGCGACATCAGATACACATAGTACATAGTAATATAAAACATAATTTCTGGTGTTATAAAGACTAATTATGTATGTGTGTCTGTGTCAATATATATGTGTGCGTGTTGTATTTCAGACAGAGTTCGGTTACTTCGTGTCCCGCGGCGGTACGGTGCTGCTACGTCAGTCAGGAGTGTTCCGTACTAACTGTGTGGATTGTCTGGATCGTACTAACGTGGTTCAGAGTTTATTGGCGAGGAGACAGCTTCTGGCTGTGCTGAGACTACTGGCGGTCACTACAGATGATGATCAGGACACGCACTTTGATAGCCTATTCAATACGGTAATATTTACTATCTTGAACCTAGGATATTATAACAGCTAAATCTCTCTATAACCTACTAAAAGACTTGGCCCTGTCCAGAACTAACATTAATTCATTCTTGGAACGTACGTCGAAAGCAGCCCTAGTAGGTTTTTTTCAAATTTGGTTAGGTAGAGAGAGGTTGGACAGTGGAGGTGAGCGTATAACGCGCTTTAGATAGTGCCCCTTAAACCTACACCTGAGTCGCAAGTCCCAGGCACTGTTGAAGCTCCTCTCACTACAACGATGGACCCGGCACCCGCACGTTGAATACAGAGACGGACAGTTTGAATTATGTTATTTATAAGTCTCAGTAATTACAAATACAATAAAAAATATATCGTTATTATTGTATTATAATTTTTATTTTTATTTATTTAATATATATAAGGTCCGCATAGTATTGGCAGAAGATTATAAAACATGGATTTAGTTTTACGTTACTAAGTTCGTGGAGATTCAAATAACGTTTCGATAATGGACAAGTAAAAGCCAAAATACAACCAAAAAGAACTAAAATTAAGATTTATGTGTTAATTTTTATTGGATTTGTTTCCAAATTTTTGATTACCTTATTGTACTATTCTTCGTTGACTAAAATCGAATGAAACTTTTACCTAAAGTGAAAATTGAACAGAAGTTCGTTTAAATGATTAGCTTTTAAGGTTTTCAATGGTCCCTAAATAGAAAGAAAAGGACCATAGTTAAAAATAATTTAATGTAGATACATTAGTTAGCGGAATTTCAGTATTGACGCTGTTATTTTAAATAATGTTATTTGAATTACTAATATATTTCTATTTATGTGTATATGTAAATAATACATTCCTCGATTGAAGTCTAACCTAGACTTTTAGAAGAGATTTCATAGAATAAAAATTTGATACTATCAACACAATTCAAATAGCACATATAATGAGAAGCATTTGAAGAACAATCATGTATGATTACTGCACAGAATGCAGTATGCACTATACACGGCACAGTTTGCAGTACTGCATTTTTTATTACTTTTTTCCAGGTATGGGCCGATCATGCAGATATGATCTCCACTCAGTACTCCGGCACTGGAGCCCTAAAGACAGATTTTACTAGAACTGGCAAACGGACCCGACTTGGTCTGTTGAGAGATGGCATCAACTCACTCACAAGATACTACAAGAATAACTTCAGCGATGGGTTCAGACAGGTTGGTCATATATATATATATATATATATATATATATATATATATATATATATATATATATCAGTAGGAAATCTTGTAGGTCACTTGAAAAACCATGACTTATAAAGTGGGAATAATAGAATACTTAACAGTTTTACCTAAAACAGTCTACATCATTGACATAATAATGTTTGATTAAGAGATATTTCAAAATATGTAATACATTTTTACAACTACCTCTCGGAGTACTATATGTATATGATTATCTTGAGCAGATTTTTCTTTATCAAAAACGCCTTTATATAAGCCAATCTTTTTTTCATAGTGACTGAATATAATGTGAACTACTTAAATAATTTTTGAGTTTGATAATAATAATTGTATGTTTGAATAAAACTTAGAAACAGATAATAAAAGATATATAATGTGTAGTATATAATATATATTCTTTTTGTTATATATTTTTTCCAGGATGCCATAGATCTGTTCCTGGGCAAGTATATAGTTGTTGATGGTGAGGGCAACACCGCTCTATGTCCATTGAGAAGACAGCGCGACTGGAAGTATTTCACTGTGAGTTACCATGAATAATGAACAGAACATTAAGATATATACCTACATATTCTACTAATTTCAGGATCTTTTTGTTTTAGATTTACTTGTTATTCACTTTAATTATTAAATACATATATAAAACCATAGATATTTTTAAAATATTGACTTAGAAAACATGTCATATTTAAAAGATATGTATAAGATGAATAAACGAGATTTATGTGTATGTATACATTTCTTATCCAAATTACACTAAATGTTTGGTAGACATAAAAAATATAATTATCTTATACAGGGTGACTGGTGAATTACTATCAATATTTAAGGAGGATACTCGGTACATGATTCTAATTCGAATTATGTAAAAAAAATAGGTACTTAATTTTTGACCAAATTTCCGTATAAATAAATAAAGTGTGGACACGTTCCAAGTGTTCCAAGTGTGGACGCGTGCGGCGGCGTGCTGATACAACACTACGCTGCCGCTCGCGTATGTGTGTGTGTGTGTGTGTACCTAATCTGTAGGGTGTTCACATGCTGCGTAATTAATTACATAACTTTTGGTTAACTTTACTTAGAAGTTTATTAATATTTATGTTATATTAATTTTTATTTCGTCATATATGATCGTCAAATATCACGTCCTCAAGTATCGATAGTAATTCACCAGTCACCCTGTATATTTGTTATATCTATATATATAATCTTTTCCCAGTTGCCGTCCCTCCTACTCGTGGGTCTGTCCATGATGTTCGCGGGGACAATGCTGCCTCGTGGGTCAGGTCTAATGATGTACCTCATGTTCTGGGGCGCGTGTGTAGGAGCCACTATCAACTTTATATTCAGGTGACTATAATAGTAATTATATAGAAAAAAATACAATAGTATTCTAGGTTAATGTTGGCAAAACATTATCACAAAGTATTTTGCATTTCGAAATGAATATTAAAAATGCAAAATACGTCTCGAAAGATATTTAAAACTAGGTTTTGCCGCGACTTCGTCCGCGTGGAATAGTGACTTCCGATTTTTGGTTCTTCCCACATAGTTCCCATTCTTGCGGGGTTTTCGGAATGGTCGAGTTCCCTTAGAATTTTCAGGATAAAACTATGTTTTTTTTTTATTCACAATGAAGTACTCTTAACCAACAACAGATTTATTTGTTTATTTGAATAAAGATTAATATTATTATGTTGATACAACTTAAACAAATTATTTCGACCAAATTAGGTACCATAAAAACATTTTTTGTGAGTTAATCTTAAAAGATAGACATATACTGTCCCGGACTGTTTTTTAGATCATTAAAAGAGCTATTATTCTTTAATACATATTTTTTGTGTATCTTGAACCGTTTTCTCGGCGCACGCAACGGAAGGCTTCAAAGATGAAATAATTTCTCCCGTTTTTTACACATTTACCACTATATATTTGCTCCTGTTGGTCGTACCGTGATGTTATATAGCCCGCAGCCTTCCTTGATAACTGGACTATCCAACACAAAAAGAATTATTCAATTCGAACCAGTAGTTTCGGAAATTAGCGCTTTCAAACAAACAAACAAACTCTTCAGCTTTATAATATTAGTATAGATAAAATACAAATTGTTTTTTACTAAGAGGCATTTAAATGCAAAATACGAAATAGAAAGTTATCGTTAATTCAGTGCAAAATACACAGAAGGAACGCATGAATATTTAATTAGTGATTCTCTTTTTGTCTTAGACGAATTGTATGCTTTAAGAATCGATCATAATCTTATATATATATATTTTATGTTTTTTTAGACATGGTCCTGAGTTTGTGGATTGGCCACGTCTAGAGGGAGTGAACCCTCGCAGGCCGCTGTCTTCTTTATGATACACCAGCCGCTCCTAGTCGTCTCTGTCGTGTAGCACACACATACATACACACACACACACACATACAACATAGAAGTGTTAAATACATTCAACACGATGGATATTGTGATGTTCTCATACATAAAATAAACCTAACATAACAATTCTTAAAGATGAATTGCTGTATGGGATAAAATGTTTTTGGAATAATGTTGTATGAATATCTAAGGTTTGATATTTACCAACAAAACCATACCAAGATTTAATCGGGTTATAATTTATATGGGAAATGTCTATTTTATGGTGGAAGTAGAAAATTACCACAGAGTTCTTAACACTTCGACCTCTGTATTTAATAAAATAATAGAATCCGCTTCATATTTTTAGATGATTACAAAATACCTTTGCAACTTTTCACATAATCAATATTGCCAACATAAAAAGTTTAATATTGCCAACTTAAGTCTTTTTGCACTTGTACATGAATGTAACGAAAATGTGTCTAATACCTCATATTTTAGAGTACACTATTGCTTAAGAGATGTATTTTATTCTGATATTTCATTGTGATAATACATATTATATAGATTAGTCGAGCAAAATGATTGCATTGATAGAAACAGTTTTAATTTAGTACATTTCTTTTACACATACATAAAGATAATTAATATGAAATAACATTATTCTTCTACTCTATATTCTAACTGCTTCTATTGATGATAAATTGATTGTTAAATCTATGTATTATCTCTGTAAGATTTCATTCCATTTATTAAGATATAAAATTTTGTGTAATATTATTATGTCAAATATTTTTTATCTTTCTTAATACTGATTGTGTTGTGATGTGTTACTAACATAAATGACATATTTCACACGAATTAAGATTTATTATGTATATGTTATAAATATTTGTGTCTTTTCTCTATGGAACATTATAACGATTAAATGTTCACAATAGTGTTCCTATGTTTATAATTTATATGATGCCTTAAGTACATTTGTGTGAAATATATATCAATCAGACGACTCAGGAGTGAAGAACATCTTTAAATAACATTGTTTACTGTATTATACTTCTTATTGTATGGGATTAAAGTTTATATTACTTTGCAGTTTCTTTTGTGTATATAATCATTGCCTCATTAAAATGTATATGATGAAATTCCATTGGAATTTGGACCTTAATTCTATTTATAATAGAGTTCACTGCAGTTATAATTTAATACAGTTTTCAATGTTATTTATAAAGATATGTTAATTTTACTAATTAGTTAATGTTGTAAGAATTGTACTCCCATTGATTTTCAGTGGACGATCTAATGTAACTTATTTGTAATTTTTATTAAATCTATCACTATTGTTTATTTTAATAAAGCGTCTGGTCTTATTTCTGTGTTTTATTTGAATATTATTTTAAGTTAGCAACTATACTAATTTATAGCAATCGTTTTTGACTCATTCATAATAACAGAAACAAAACTTACACATGCTTTAAATTCAGTTAATTTTTTATATCATTCTTTAAGTTTTGTACATTTAATAGTTTTACGTAAAATTCAAAAGTAAAAAAAACTTATGTCCAATGTTTATACCACTGTAATTAATAAAAGAATGCAATTTTTTTATGTGAATGGTGGCAAACGAGCAGACGGCCCACTTGATGGAAGGTGGCTACCGTCGCCCATGGACATTCACAACATTTCTGTTGCGCATCCGTTGCCTACCTTGTTTTTTAGGGATAGGGAGGGGTGGGAATAAGGAAACGGTAGGAAAGGGTAGGAATAGGGAAAGGGCAACCGGCTCTCTCATTCATCGGACGAAACTCAGCCATTAAAGGCTACTTCACGCCGATCTTTTGTGAGAGGGTGGTACTTCCCCGATAGAGCCAGCCCATGTTCGAGATGTAGTAACTGACCACAGCTAGGCTCTACCACCTACAATTCATATACAATTTGGAATTATGTTGTGTCCATTCCTTTACAAAACTATGGCTTCCATAAGATTTTTGGAATTTTCAGTTTTTGGTTACATAAAAGTTATTACTCAAATTTTTGTTTGTTAAATTTTAATAATATTAACTTTCAATGATCTAATATACTTAATATTCGAAATAAATAATTATAATGGTTATGAAGTATCTATTCTTAAAATATTTTGTTTTTAAATTCTGTAACACAGTTTTTGAACGTAAGCGGTTATGTTCCTTGAGCTGTCAAATAATGTCATTTTGGTAGTTGTAAACGATATCTCTCGGAGAGAGGTGTCCTCGTCGGTTTAAACAGTATATATTTAAATTCATAAATAATATTGTATTATATTATCAGCTATGTTGTTCGTAAAATAAAAATAAACATTTTCTTGGCGGTATAGTGTTGTTTGTACGTATAAATAATATGTTCAGTGGTTGTTAAGTGTATGCGACTATTCGGCTCCAGAATGTCTGATGAATTAGAAGCCAGAATGTGGGATGAAGGTGGGTCCAGATACGAGAGCAGGAGTCGTGGAGCTTATTTTGAGTCCGCATTTGCATCATCAGAACATTTGGATCGCGCGCCCTTGTTATCAGAGGTAGGCATTGTTACCGATAATGTTTATTTCTCACATTTTGCGCAATTTTCTGATTACGACCAACATTAAATTGTTTTGCACAGCGCTCTATTGTTATATTACACTTTGTTTTCGGAATTTCCTTTACTATTTTTAATAGTAATAAGATCATATTTATTAAAATAAGAAATTCGTAATCACATTGTCATTAATGATATGCACTTAATTTATACAATTCATACCTACTTAAAATCACATGATTTTTTTAAATTCTAAACATTCTTAATTCAAAACAAAAGCCAGTGTCAAATGGTGTAGCTGGCAAGAATTATAATGGCTTTAAAAATAAAACATTGGCTTAAAATAAAATTACAAATTCAAGTGGTGTAGCCAATTCTATATATAGTAAAACATACCTTTTTATATGATAGTTTTTTTGTAATAGTTATAATGTTTTTTAATAAGGATGTTTAAACATGTCTCAAGTATTTAAATATTGAAAATCATTGTATACAAAAATGTGTATAACGAAATCATTATTTTATTACTATGTAAACACTAGAAATAGTGTTATTGATTTTATTTAATAAATATTATATAAAATATAACAGAACAGTAATAGAATATTATTTCTATGTATAAAATATCTTTAAAGAAATAAAAGGTTCAAATACACATTTAAGGAAAATTGTGAGGAAAAAATAATCCTTTTAGATTATTAAAAGGCCAAGGGTTTTCAATATAATATATTAAGGTCTTGCTATATATAGTCATACTAAGAATATATATATATATACTTATGTAAGTCCCTGCTTCAAGAACTCGGTACTTGTGATGAAAAAATTTAAATGCATATAGATTTTACAAAGTACTCTCAAATACAAACAACAATATAATTTTTCCTATATAAAGAAGGTTATAACTATTTGACTGGAAGTTGAAGTTAAAATACTTCAACTAATTATATAATTAAAATGATCATGAGTTTGAGATTATATGTATATATATTAAAATTAAGCAAGTTGTATATTATACTAGTAGTTTTTGAGATAAGTACATTCAAACAAACAAACTCTGTAATTCTATAATATTAATATTATATGGAATGTAACATCTAGTAAATATATAGCTTTTGTTATGCAATAGTTGTCATTTTGTCATTAGAGATATTTTTTATTGATGTAGGAATATGGAAACTTTTTGCTCGAGATCTTTGATTTATTTTCATTAACATAAAAAATAATGTTTATTTAACGATAATTTTCAAGAATATTATCATCACAAAAAGTAATGTTTCTGTATACTAAATGTTTTTATTATTTTATATCTACATGTTCCCGATAATTCTAAAGTATCTGACAGAGGAACATGTAAGTATAAGATTATAAAAAACATGGAGTATTTGAAAAACTTAGTTTCACTCAAATGTGTACACACGATCTTAGATATCATTACTATCGTTACATTCTGAACTAAGCTTTATAACAAAGTCTGGTATTCTTTTCAATTTAATCCCTACTAATATTATAAATGAGAAAGTAACTCTGTCTGTCTGTCTGTTACGCTTTCACGCCTTAACCACTGAACTGATTTTAATGAAATTTGCTACAGAGATAGAGTTGACCTTGAGACAGAACATAGGATAGTTTTTATCCCAGACTTGAAAGGTTCTCTTGGAAACGCGATATAACCGAACTCCACGCGGGCGAAGCTGAGGGCGGAAAGCTAGTCTGTATATATAATCTACTTATCCTTTTTAAAATGCACAGAAAAATACAGTTGTGTATTATTTATATGTACATATATATTAAATTCTTTTAGAGCCAAACATTTTTTTGACATATTTATTTATTGTGTAAGTGTTATCTTATGCAAGAGGGGTTTCCTGTTTGATAAAAATTTTATGTGTTTATATTTAGAATATATTTTAATTTGTAAAAATGTTTAAATTGATTAGGTTGATATTAGTGTATAGTTTGGGTTCAAAAGAGTTTTTTTAGTTGTTGGCAGTATGTAAATAAGTTTACTAATTTGCACTTAATATTGTTTTTGACTAAATGTAACTTGTTTTTGACTAAATGTAAATATCTTTTTTCATATACATATTTTTGCATACAATTTTTCTATCATATATTTCTACACTTTTTCGTATTTTTTTTTTAAATAAGTTATGAAGTTCTTATACATGTGTTTAAAAACATAAAATTTTTGTGTTGCATCTTCCTTCTCCTCCATATGATTTATTGATTAAATGTAGATTATGATTGTATATTATTAACTATTCTAGTCTTTATAATGATTTATCTAAATAGCAAATACTTATTATTTCTCGAAGCTACAAACAGCAAAAAGTCTTTATTACTGACACATAAATAATATTTCCATCATGCTGGCAACATAACGGCCGGCGTTACAAAAAAAATATGTACTTTTATGTTCATTCGAGCGGAACTGGACGTTGGATGTATACTGAAGTTTTTTTTTTAAAAAGAGGCAATGATTACAAGAGTGATTGCTGATGAAATATATTGTATAAATTTAGATGAAAAAAGGTTTTATTAGAAAATATTTTTCAAGTAAGATGTGTAATGTTATGTTTATTTTAAATTGTTAAACTTGTAAACTATAGTAAGGCGTCGGAAACGTTATCACTTATCAATAGGGCCCGGATTAATATGTAAATACATATTTTTAATTTACGCGATTTTCGGTCTAAAATGTGTTTTCTACATGGATTGTCATATTTAGACTGAAAAACCAACTTTTATTTTCCATATTTTAGATTTTTTCGTCCATATTTTATGTACATATTTTAGATTTTTTAATACATATTTATCCGGGCCCTAGTTATCAACAATAGTTCGATCGTATCGATAATTGGTGATACTTTTTTAAGTTAAAAAGAGTTTCAATATCGATTTTAGAGTACACAAATATCGTACCCTAACTACGAAATAAACTTAGATTAAAAAAAAATGTTGATTTGACAGGTGCTGTAAAATAATATATTCTATTTGACAGCGTCATCGGGGTTAGAACAAATCGGACAAATGTCTTGCACGGATGAAGGCTATAATTTAAACAACCAACCAACCATCTTATTTGTCGTAACACGATAATATTCGTATGTACGTAAATGAAAAACTATTTAATTAAACAATTAAATATAAATACATGACACATTACCTATAGGTTTTAATTATTTTACCATAATTCTATTCCATTAATAAACTCGTCTAAATGTAAATCAATTATATTCAATTATAAGTTAGGTACAGAATACGACGAGTCTGGCGTCACTATAAGAGTAATCTTGTTAGTGACGTCAATATAAATAAACTTACTACTTGTTTCTATCGTCAAACTAATTATTATATAGGAGGTTCAAGGAAAACTACGAAACTTACTTATATGTATATTATAATAAGGATTACATATTAAAACTTATAACTTGTACCTAAGACTACATGATTGTCCCGATGTTAGGATAGCAATACCATTCCATAGCTTGTGTGGTATCAGGAATCTTCTGGTTCACACGACTTGGTGTTCGATCCGCGGAGTCGTCAGTCACTCGCTATATCATGTTTTTTGCAAACAATGATTTTGCCCCGGCGATGTTTATTATTTTTTAATATGTAGCGCGTACGTAACAAACTAAATACTTGTAGTTCACAGTTTTTAATACATATATAATTTAAGAATCTCATAATAGAAGATTTATGAATGAAAGACTCCAAGCTTGATTTGTATATTGAAACAAGTACATAGTACCTAAGTACTTTATAAACAGCGCATATACCTAGTGAATTCATAACACCAGCATAATAATTAAGTTCTGTTTTAAACAGTATTATAATGCACACAGTCTAACTTTAAGTAACTAAAACTGTAGTAAACTAACAGTATGTAAATAGTTATGGAACGGAATTTTGATACATTTGCATAAACATCGCTTCAATCTGTGCCAGAATATTATGACACTGTTTTTTTAATATACATTTAATCTATGGCTTCATTCCAGTATAATTTTCTTTTCGAATATCAAATTTGAAATGTCATTGTATTTTTTTTTAAATATATAATCGCACAGAATAAGTTGAAGTTGTAATGCCTACTTATAAAAGAGTTTCTATGTAATGATAATTGAGTATTTATTAATATATCTTGTTAACAGTTATCTGCTTTATATATTTTTTCTGCTTTATGTTAATTCTTGACGAGGAAGCTCTTATAAAATATTTCAATGCCATGCAGTCAGAAACCATGAAATAACTGACTATTTGCCAACTTAACAACGCACACATTCAAAAACAAACATATGTACATACACAAACACATTCATAATGAGTACACTCAGGCAAGAGTCCATAGTCATACATCTACATATATTTAACCTATTTTTATAAAATACTAGCTTTTGCCGCGACTTCGTCCGCGTGGAATAGTGACTTCCGGCAGATTTTTGATTCTTCCCACATGCCTAGTTCCCGTTCTTGCGGGGTTTTCGGAATGGTCGAGTTCCCGTAGAATTTTCAGGATAAAACCTATGTTTTGTTTTATTCGCAATGAAGTACTCTTAACCAACAACATATTTATTTGTTTATTTGAATAAAGATTAATATTATTATGTTGATACAACTTAAACAAATTATTTCGACCAAATTAGGTACCGTAAAAACGGTTTTTGTGAGTTAATCTTAAAAGATAGACATATACTGTCGCGGACTGTTTTTTAGATCATTAAAAGAGCTATTATTCTTTAATACATATTTTTTGTGTATCTTGAACCGTTTTCACGGCGCACGCAACGGAAGGCTTCAAAGATGAAATAATTTCTCCCGTTTTTTACACATTTACTACTATATCTTTGCTCCTATTGTTCGTAGCGTGATGTTATATAGCCCACAGCCTTCCTCGACAACTGGACTACCCAACACAAAAAGAATTATTCAATTCGAACCAGTAGTTTCGGAGATTAGCGCTTTCAAACAAACAAACTCTTCAGCTTTATAATATTA